TACCGCACCCGTGGAGGATCATGTCGAATACGAAGTTAAATCTATATTAGATTCCCGGATTTCTTGGGGTAAATTACAGTATCTCCTTGATTGGAAAGGGTACGGTCCAGAGGAGCGATCGTGGGTCAGTGCATCAGATGTTCACGCCCCTCGCCTGATTTGTCTGTTTGAGAGGCGGCGCTCTTGTGGGTTCGGTTCCACCCGCCTTGGGGGCGGTTCTCAAGGGGGGTGTACTGTAATAAGCGCTTACCTTTCCCCGCCGGTCCTCCTCCGATCCTTCCGCTCAGCTATTCTGACGCCGGCCGCTCGGAACATGCCCACATTTATGACGCGGCGCATGCGCGCCGACGTCAGACCGAAAATGGCGCCAAAATTCAAACGTGGCCACGCTCCCGGACTTTTTGGGGGCGTGGCTACGGAATTAAAGCCAAAGAACCCACACTATAAAGGGGCTATCATGACATTTGTCAGATGCCCTAGTGTGGTTCTTGTTTAAGTCCCCTGGTGCTATCTTTTCTTATTGTCCTTCCTGGTATTTGACCCTTGGCTATCTCTCTCTGACTATTCTGTGTTCTGGTTTCCCGTATCTTGGCTTGGATAATCGTGTGCCCATCTTCCGTATTCCCTTGACCTCTGGCTATTTCTCTTGACTATTCTCAGACGCTAGTCCGGCCATTCTAAGGTCCGGTAACCGTCTTTCTGTGGGTTTCACGCTGTGTGAAGGGGTCACTGTTGTGACTTTGGTCACTGTCGTGACACCCTCACACACACACTGCACCCCTTCCACATTGCACCACTCACACACACCACTGCTCATATGCCCTACTACAGCCCCATTTCCCAGCAGACCTAAGGTAAGTTGTCAAACTGTTCTTAAACGGTTTGACTACTTACTCTGGGAGGGGGTCCCAGCACTATTGACACCATAACCGCTACACTGAGCTGTAGTGGTTATTGTGTCTGGATTATTTCTTTAAATAATGTACAAGTGCCCCTCCCGAGATCAGGCTCTGGATCCGCCACTGCATGACACTCATAAGCTCACTACAGACAAGCTCACTGACACATGCTTACTACAGACAAGCTCACACACAATCACTATCAGCCATGGGCTGCTGGACAAATTTACTAGTAGCTGTCACTGGGGACTCTGAGGGCACAGTAAGTAGTTTTTCATGCATGACCCAGACCTCTTCAATGAGATGAAGTGGTCTGGGTGCCTATAGAGTCCCTTTCATTACAATGACACAATATTAACCGTCTGCCCCCGGCGGCATGTTATTGGTGGGCGTTCAAAGGTGTTGGGAATTGCGTCATATAATTAACCCCTTAATGCCGTTACGGTGTTCTATGCCATCCCGCTTTAATTGGGCTTTAAAGCCATTGCGGCGGCATAGAACGCCGTAACGACGTTGAGCCCTGGAGCGCACGGTATACTCACCTTACCGGTGCTCCGCTTCGGGAGGACTGCCTCACAGCCCAGGCAGCCCTCCCCCTGGAAAATGAGGCCCCCGGGGGCCATGTGATCAATATACAGGGAGTGCAGAATTATTAGGCAAGTTGTATTTTTGAGGATTAATTTTATTATTGAACAACAACCATGTTCTCAATGAACCCAAAAAACTCATTAATATCAAAGCTGAATATTTTTGGAAGTAGTTTTTAGTTTGTTTTTAGTTATAGCTATGTTAGGGGGATATCTGTGTGTGCAGGTGACTATTACTGTGCATAATTATTAGGCAACTTAACAAAAAACAAATATATACCCATTTCAATTATTTATTATTACCAGTGAAACCAATATAACATCTCAACATTCACAAATATACATTTCTGACATTCAAAAACAAAACAAAAACAAATCAGTGACCAATATAGCCACCTTTCTTTGCAAGGACACTCAAAAGCCTGCCATCCATGGATTCTGTCAGTGTTTTGATCTGTTCACCATCAACATTGCGTGCAGCAGCAACCACAGCCTCCCAGACACTGTTCAGAGAGGTGTACTGTTTTCCCTCCTTGTAAATCTCACATTTGATGATGGACCACAGGTTCTCAATGGGGTTCAGATCAGGTGAACAAGGAGGCCATGTCATTAGATTTTCTTCTTTTATACCCTTTCTTGCCAGCCACGCTGTGGAGTACTTGGACGCGTGTGATGGAGCATTGTCCTGCATGAAAATCATGTTTTTCTTGAAGGATGCAGACTTCTTCCTGTACCACTGCTTGAAGAAGGTGTCTTCCAGGAACTGGCAGTAGGACTGGGAGTTGAGCTTGACTCCATCCTCAACCCGAAAAGGCCCCACAAGCTCATCTTTGATGATACCAGCCCAAACCAGTACTCCACCTCCACCTTGCTGGCGTCTGAGTCGGACTGGAGCTCTCTGCCCTTTACCAATCCAGCCACGGGCCCATCCATCTGGCCCATCAAGACTCACTCTCATTTCATCAGTCCATAAAACCTTAGAAAAATCAGTCTTGAGATATTTCTTGGCCCAGTCTTGACGTTTCAGCTTGTGTGTCTTGTTCAGTGGTGGTCGTCTTTCAGCCTTTCTTACCTTGGCCATGTCTCTGAGTATTGCACACCTTGTGCTTTTGGGCACTCCAGTGATGTTGCAGCTCTGAAATATGGCCAAACTGGTGGCAAGTGGCATCGTGGCAGCTGCACGCTTGACTTTTCTCAGTTCATGGGCAGTTATTTTGCGCCTTGGTTTTTCCACACGCTTCTTGCGACCCTGTTGACTATTTTGAATGAAACGCTTGATTGTTCGATGATCACGCTTCAGAAGCTTTGCAATTTTAAGAGTGCTGCATTCCTCTGCAAGATATCTCACTATTTTTGACTTTTCTGAGCCTGTCAAGTCCTTCTTTTGACCCATTTTGCCAAAAGAAAGGAAGTTGCCTAATAATTATGCACACCTGATATAGGGTGTTGATGTCATTAGACCACACCCCTTCTCATTACAGAGATGCACATCACCTAATATGCTTAATTGGTAGTAGGCTTTCGAGCCTATACAGCTTGGAGTAAGACAACATGCATAAAGAGGATGATGTGGTCAAAATACTCATTTGCCTAATAATTCTGCACTCCCTGTATATACATATTATATATATGTAACGTCATACGTAATGTATTTTAATATTAATATAGGTACTTATATTAGTATTAAAATACACTTAGAATGACGTTACATATATGTAATATGTATATATATTATATATATAAAATATATATACACATATATTATATATACCCGTATAATTACAATAATAAATAAAATATTGAAACAAAATTTAATATAAATTATATATTCATTTGTAATTTCCTTCTAACTGTATTTTGTTATTAATATATATATATATATATATATATATATATATATATATATTGGTAACAAAATACACTTAGAATGACATTCTATAAATATCTATCTATATATAAAATACAAATAACCGCAACTATATATATATATATATATATATATATATATATATATAGATAAATACATATAATTACACAAAAAGATTACATTAGTATACACGTAGAATTTAAGTACCTATAAATGCATATATATTAAAATTCTACATGTATATTTAAGTAATCTTTTAACATAATTATGTGATTTGATTCATTAAAATTTGATTGACATGCCTGACAACACAGGGAGAAAGTGCAGGGAATTTAATTTGCAAGCACTATATTTGACCCTGTAACTCTCCAAGACACCATAAAACCTGTACATAGGGGGTACTGTTTTACTCAGGATACTTCGCTGAACTCAAATATTAGTGTTTCAAACTGGTAAATCGTATTACAATGATGATATTTTAAGTAAAAGTGAAGTTTTTTTGTATTTTTTACAAATGAACTGCACTTTTATGGACTATATTATTGTTGTAATATGTTTTACTGTTTTAAAACACTAATATTTGTGTTTAGTGAAGTCTCCCGAGAATAACAGTACCCCCTATGTACAGGTTTTATGGTGTTTTGGAAAGTTAGAGAGTCACATATAAGGCTTGCATTTCATTTTTTTTTACATTGAAATTTGCCAGATTGGTTATGTTGCTTTTGAGAGCGTATGGTAGCCCAGGAATGAGAATTACCCCCATTTGCAAAAGTAGACAACCCAAGGTATTGCAAGTGGGGTATGTCCAGTCTTTCTTAGTAGCCACTTAGTCACAAACACTGGCCAAATATTAGTTTTTTGCTTTTTTCACACAAAAACAAATATGAACGCTAACTTTGGCCAGTGTTTGTGACTAAGTGGCTACTAAAAAAGACTAAACATACCCCACTTTCAATACCTTGGGTTGTCTACTTTTTCAAATGGTATGCCATCATGGGGGTAATTCTCATTCCTGGGCTACCACACCGTCTCAAAGGTAACATTACCAATCTGGCAAATTTCAATTTGAAAATGGAACGTTCTATATTTGACCCTGTAACTTTCCAAAACACCATAAAACCTGTTAAGGGGGGGGTACTGTTGTACTCGTAAGACATCGCTGATTACTAATATATGCAATTTTTGGCAGTAAAACCTAACAGTATTATGACATTCACAGCTAAAATGTCAGACGGAAATACAAATAAAAAAAAAAAATCTAATTTTCTCATATTTTTTTACATTTTATTCATAATAAATTATGTTCCATATATGAATAGTTAATGATAAATTAAAGACCTGTTTCTCCTGAACAAAATGATATATAATAAGTGTGGGTGCACTTAATGTGACAGCGGTGAATTACGGTTGAACAGACACATAGCGCAAGTTCCAGTTTTTGTTTACGTTTTGTTTTGATCAGAACGTGTACTATTGACTCCGTCCTGAAGGGGTTAAAACCACTGTCCTCAGTATATGGATACAAGTACGGATCGCCATCACTAAAGATGGCTGCGCATTGCCAGCGTGGCCACGCCTCCTTGTTTACATCCCGTGACCGAGAGGCTAGGAGCCACCCGGAAGCCCCGCCCACCTCGCCGCAGAGTGCGTGACGTCACGTGTGGAAGGTGGAGGAAAGAAGGGGGCGTGCGACGTAAAAAGAAGAAAGGAGTGATCGCGTCAGACAAGCCGGAAGTGTGCGGGCTGTTGGAGGGTGAACACAAAGGAGGAAGATGTGAGTGAGGGAGCCGGATAAATTGGGCCAGGTGAGGAGGGTGGCTGTCCTAGGGGGAGAGAGGGCTGGCTTACCTGGGCTTTACATGGCCCCCATGTCCGAGCAGGGCCCCAGCAGTGTTTATTATAGTGTGTGTTATTGTGTTGTTATTGTGTATACAGGTAGGGGCACAGGGTGTGTCTGGGAGCTGCTCTTACTGACCCAGCTTAACATTATTATGGCCCTGTGAGAGGGGAAGGGGCCATGTGTGAGGACACAGCAGTTTTGTGTAAAGAGTAATTTGGGGGCAATCTTATTTTAAAGTGGGTGAGAGGGCAGGGACATGCCATTGGTTTCCATGCTATTTATTCCACTTCTAAAACCTTCCCCTCGAAGTACCCTTTATATGCAAACCATATTGTGCAGTCCTAGCCCTCTTTTGCCCATGTTGTGTGGTTTTTTTTTTTTTAAGACCTTTCAACAATTTGTCCCTGCAACTCTTTGTATTATATCTGCGATGGCCAGTCAAATAGCTTAGGGTTTGCAATTCCTGCAGCATTCAATAACCACTGAATCAGCAAGGTGTCTGCAAATTACCTGTAATGATCTCATAGTTCCTCTTTCTAGAATCATTTGCACTTAAGCAAAAAACAAAATACAGGGCTCAAAATTTCCACTCTGTGGGCGACTAAATATTTCGTTCAGGCTTTCAAATTCTCTGCTATTTAGAAGTTCAATCACTTTCGTTTCTGTCCATGTAGCCCTAGCCACGCCTCCCCTGGCTGGGACTCACACACAGCCTGCATGTGAAAAAAAATTTCATGTTTAATCAGATGTTAACTTATGTCTAAAGTTCTTATCTCCTGCTCTTCAAATTGAACTTTAATCACACAGGAGGCTCCTGTGGGGTGTCGAAGGCTATTAACAGAACAGATATGAAGTTCTAAATAAAACAAATTTTTATTTGTAACGAATTTACAATAAAGGAGGATTAAACATTCAGTCTCTCTTTAGAGGAAGTGTTTAAGAAGGCTGAACACGTCACATGTAGGGAGGTATGGCTAGATCTATATAAACAAAGTGATTAAACTCCTAAATGGCACATAATGTAGCTGTGAGACTGCAGGGGCAATATTTGCACACAAAGACTGCTTCATTAAGCTAAAGTTGTTTTGGTGTCTTGTATGCTTTTAAGATTTATTTACCTCCACAAACTTTATTGCTCTTTTGTTTAAGCGTCCTCACGCTCTGCATGAGGACTTCTAGCGTCAGATTTTTTTTTTTCACATGGGAAAACTTTGAATAAAGATTTCCCATGGGAAAATCCTAGTGTGAGCTGGTCACTGGGCGCATGTGCATTAGGTCTGCATGGGAGGAGCCTGACTCAGCGCTGAGTGACATCGGAACTGGATTCAGGTAAGTGACTGAAGGGGTTTTAACACATTCAGCGCTGTGGGAGTGAGGGGCACTGGAGGATTCTATAGTGCTAGGAAAACGCCTTTGTTTTCCTGGCACTATAGAATCACTTTAATCAGTTAGTCATGCTGCTGCATTAACAAATTGTGTGTGTATACATTCTATGGCCCTACTTAAAGGTACACTGTAGTCACCCTAACTACAGCTTATTGTAGTTGTTCTGGTGTCTATATCTTGTTGCTTCAGGCTTTTTGCTGAAAAAGAGAAAAGGCAGTGGGTACAGTACAGCCTACGAACACCCCTAGTGACCACTCCTCATATGGCCACTAGAGTTATTTCTGGGTGTAGCACTGACGTTCAGTGTCTCCATGTTCTGAAAAGCCTAGTGTGTACTTCTAACTTCTTTTTGATTTGTAATTTAAATTACAAGATGATAATTGGAAATACGGGGGGTGGGGTTGAAAAAGGTACTTAATGTAAGTTCCTGAATCATTGCTTAGTGGGTCTGCTTGCAGCTGCAGACAAACCCTTCTCATGCCAGGATGAGAGTCCGATTAGGAGACATTTTTGTCTTTTGCTTCTGATCTTTCCTATAATTCTCTGTATATTAAGGGTTCATGGCTTAACTAGTTTAGTACCAAAGAGATATTATCATCAAATGGGTTGGTTTGAACTGCTCTGTAAACTAATAACAGCCATACTAGGACTGCTGTTTGCTTATACACAGCATGTTTTACGGCTTGGTAAATAAGGCTGTGTTTTAGAGCCATGCACCATACATGCACAGTCAAACTCAGCTTTCCGTCTAGGAATTACATACTTCCTATTTGTACATGTGGAACGCATGTGTGCAAACTAGGACAAAATTGATATTGACCTGCAAGTTCCTTTTTATTTTATTTTTTTTTTTTTTCCCCTCCCCTCGCCGATTGACCTTGGTGGGCTGTATTAAGCAGAAGGGGTTATTTTTTTTTTATTTTTTTTTATATTGCTGCAACTACAGCCCAGTTTTGGACATGAATGAACTCTGTGCTCTAAGCCCCAAGCACATTTCATTAAGCAAAGTGTTGAATCTGGCCTTCATAACGCTACTCAAAGCATCATAACCACTTAGAAAAATAGAGTTGACTGGTATGCCTAATGCAACACACAGGTATGAGGGAATCGGACTTAGGTGGATTGCTCAAAACTGGATAAACACAGGAGTTCACCAAAGACCTGTCTTGAAAAGTTATGTAATGAAAAGATGATATAACAACCTTAGTTGATATAGATATTCCAGGAGCTGATCCACCTAAAATGGCTTTGGATGTTGTTGTGCCTTCTATATAGTTCTAAATGTATTTAAGAGCTGTGTAAGTATACACCAGAAAATGTGGTGGTGTAGAAATTCACTCAGATAAACTCCAATATTTTCTAAGAGGGACTGAAAAAAAAATGCAACAGTAGTGTGTGGTGTATACGCCTTTAAATCTGCTATAGGCAGAATAAATGGAATAAACACCAAATATTATACTTCACATATAACAACTAAAGGGAATTTGAGAAACAGTATATAGAACTGTTCTCTCTACTAATGAGATAAGATGAAGAAAATTAATCACATACATTTCTCCATGCAATATAACCATATAAGGTTTCTGTGCCTTTAAGTCTATTGAAGAATAGACGGAATAGAGCATGCACCAAAATAGTGTAATTTTTGGAAAGATATAAACCATAAAATAGGAGTACAGTATTGAAGACTGATCCTATATTGCAATAGAATATAATATCTCTTTAAAAATAACCACGTAAAAAAGGCTTCAAAATGATAAGTCAAATTTATTAATGAGAAATACTCAAAGAGTAATCAAAAAAAATAATAATAAATGAGTAAACTGATTAAAATATAAGCCAGGAACGAAAAGCAAGAATATTACCAGCACAATTGTAGTCTTTGTTTGTAATTTGTATCTGGGACCGGCCAGGATGGATGTGGATACTTTGTGTCACAAAAGTTTTCCTCTGGCTGTCGGCTTGTCAGTGAGGTTAGCGTGTGTCTCAGACCTCACTCTGAGAACTGCACGCTGCAGCCCGATCGGTCCCCAACTTGTGAGAGCTTTCCTCGATGCATCCAAGGTCCTACTGCTGGGTTGAATTCTGCCACCGTATCCTGCTTGAAATCTGACGCGTTTCGTGGGTGTCCGCCCCACTTTTTCAGAGATAGAATGGTGTTCCGTGGTTGGGCGATGATTTAAATACATGTCTAATTAATCCTAATTGGTATACATGATTGTTGCATATAGTAAATACAATGATTGAATAAAACTGAATATTTAAGAGGATATATTGCAAATGGAAATAAAAATAAAGACAGAAAAATTATAATATAAAATATAATAGATATTACAAGTCGACTGCGATTAACTGTACATCCAATTAATTGATTTAAAAAGACAGTATAAAAATATGATTAAAAGGCATAATCTGAAAATGTTACATCAAAGACCTGCAAATAGATTGTTGAAAGTCGAGAGATATATATCTAGATCTATATCTTATATTCCATGTCTAAAATGACAAGATCTAAATAAAAAAAACAATGATTGTTGTGTCCCATAACATTGCATGATTCTTCTAATGTTATAAAATGTGCAAAGGAATGCAGTTTATATACATAATAATTTATGGATGTGATTAATTCATATAGATATATAGTACTGTAAAATCAATATCTTGTTGTTAGGGGTCTCATTATTTGGTTGTATTCCATACCTGCAAGGAGCATGTCGAACCTTATTCTTCAATAGACTTCAAGGCACAGACACCTTATATGGTTATATTGCACGGAGAAATGTATGTGATTCATTTTCTTCATCTTATCTCTAATTAGTAGAGAGAACAGTTCTATATACTGTTTCTCAAATTCCCTTTTAGTTATATGTGAAGTATATATTTGGTGTTTATTCCATTTATTCTGCATATAGCAGATTTAAAGGCGTATACACCACACACTACTGTTGCATTTTTTTTTTCAGTCCCTCTTAGAAAATATTGGAGTTTATCTGAGTGAATTTCTACACCACCACATTTTCAGGTGTATAATTACACATCTCTTAAATACATTTAGAACTATATAGAAGGCACAACAACATCCAAAGCCATTTTAGGTGGATCAGCTCCTGGAATATCTATATCAACTAAGGTTGTTATATCATCTTATCATAACCACTTAGCCTACTGTAGTGGTTATGATGTGAGGAATACCCTGGTCCTGTTCCCAAGTAAAAGACAAACAATTTTGGAATAATTTGCCCTCTTGTATGGATGTCTGCTGAGCCTCCTAGATTTCCTGCAAATATGAATTTGATTAGTCAATGTATAAGACTCCACAGGTAAATTCCGGACAAACCGTGTGTGTATGTATATGTAATTTGTATTGACCATTTTTGTTTCATTTGGAGTTGCTTCATATCAGATGATTACATATTGGGGGTTTGGACAACCAAGCAATCTTATTGTGTGAAGGAATAGGAAGGTTCCACAAATGACCACTTTTCAGGCCTTAAAGGGTTGACCTACAATGAAATTTAAATATTTCAAATGTATTTATATATATATTTTTTTTTTTTCTTTTCCCAATTGTAAGGAAGGAATGATGATCGGAAGGAGGCCCTATGAAGTGCTGCATGTGGTTTGATGATGGAAGGGAATGAATCTGCAAGTACGTGTAGCAAACCGGTCGGATTGTTCCAGCGGCAAGAGAAGGATGTTGAGCCGTGGCTGTGGAAATTGTCAAATTGCTTCTCTACTGTTGGTCAGGCATTACCCACTACAGGAGGGAAACCGGTAACATTTCAAATATTTTATTTTTGTTTCAATGTTAGAGTTGACATAGTATGTGTGTGGTGGTATGGGGGAGGGGGTCACTTTGATAATTTGATTTCCGCTGTTGAGTATGTGCTTTGTGAATCTGACTACATTGAGCAGCAATTGTTCAGGTAACCTTAAAATCTGAACCAGCTAGCGGTTCAGTCAGGTAGTGACATTTTATCTGAAAATTATTCAACACACAAAGTTTTGTAAATATAAATATACTCTTCAAAAACTATTTTTATTTTAGTTTTAATTCTTTATTTTTGTTGTGCAGATAGGTAAAATGATGACTGCATTGCCACAACCGCATAAATAGTCAGATAAAATATAGTGTATAGTATGGCAGCACATTTTGATGGTTATGATCATAATAGTCGAGCATTAGTAGTGTCTGCATGTGTAACATGGTGAAAGACTGGTAGACAAGAGATTATCAATGCATAGAACCACAGGGATTAAATGAACGTTGTCTGTACAGACTTTCCAAACAAATGGCATATAACACTGAAGTTGAGATTAAGATTAGAGGCCCACTGTAGGTACTCTATAACAGAAAATAAAACCAAGTAACTGGAAGGCATATACATTCAGTATCAAAATAGGCTAGTCCATGCCAGTCACCCAACACCAACCCTGGAAGCCTGATGTGCAAGCCCGGGAAGTCGCTTTAACTGGATACCGCCAAGCTGTGCATCAGCCACTGGGATCTGTCCATTTTTTTTTTTTTTTTCTGGTCTTGTGTGCAGATGCGAGATCTGAAGTGTTCCCTGGAAAGCGCTACATGTTGCGGAGATTGTCTGGTGGATGTATTTGTGCCACTTTGATCGAACGTGTAGGGCGTTTCTGACTGTGTCTAATCAGGTCTGATTTCGGAGTTGTGGTGGTGCTCTTATGGGGAGAGGTAGACCGCTGTGGTGTTGCCTCTACTCCAACTCTGGTCTCTAGCTTCTCCTGCAATCTCCTCTAAAAGTGGTAATTGACCATTTTATAACTTGTACAGTACGAGTGTATTTTATGAGTCTGGCAAATGCAGGTCAGTTAAGTGTGCTTATTTATTTTCTCCTATCAGAGGAGTTCAGTATGGAACGAATTATAATAGAACTAATCTTCCTATGCATTTCATGTAAATAGAAATCTAATGTTTTAGACTCCTTTGTTGCATAGTCTGTTTAGTTAGAATTTCGTATCTCCTGCTCTGTTAGTAGTCTGTTAGATCAGCAGCCTCTCGTGTGTGTGTGTGTGTGTGTGTGTGTGCTTAAAGTCCAGTTAACAGAGTAGGATATAAAAACTTCTAAAGTAAACACACTGTTTTCTAACTGAAAATGAAACTTTAAAAAAAAATTGCAGGCTGTCAGTCAGGGGTGCTAGGGCTGTATAAAAAAAAGCAGTGAGACTGTAGGGGCATGATCTATAAACCAAAAACTGCTACATTAAGCTAAAGTTGTCACGATGCCTATAGTATTCATTTTTATGATGCTTTGTTCTTCATATGATGGCTCCTCCCCATTATGCATTTCATTGTTTTGGATCATAAATTTAAAATTCAACAGCTCAGTGTAAAGTGATATTATATTTAAAATGGCTTTTCCCATAAACTTGCCTTTCTCTTATTTCAGAATCTGTTCTTTTCGTTTCTAATCGATTTTTCTCTTTGACATGACACAATGTAGAGAGGACTTTGTCTTAAGTCCCGACAAAGGGTGGAGCTTAAGGCATGATGCAAACTCCACCCTCTATCAAGATTCGTCAAGCATAAGTTAAAAATACTTATGTTTAAATGAGGAATAGATCCTAAATAAAGGAAAACAGATTCTGGATGAGAAGAGGGAAATTTGAGGCGACAGAGGCCATTTAAAAATGTTAACCCTTCCTTGTTATGCATTGCAGACCTTCAAGATCCTCTTTTAATATTAAGGTTGTCTCTTTACTTTTTAGAAAGACTTCATGGAGAGAAAGAAGCCCACAGTGGAGCTGAAGGATGTCCCTCTACCTCCCCCTCCCAAAATTCAACCTTGCACAAATATATTCCAATCAGTACCCCTTTCCAAAAACCTACAAGCCCCTCTACAGTCAGGTCCCAAAGTAAGCTGCTGTGCTCTTTGTTCCATTGGCCCCTCTTGCACACCTGATTACATGTGTGGTGGTGGTGGCTTTATTCTTTCAAACACCATATTGGACAAAAAAGTTGCTGGCACAATTACTTGTCAGATAGCCCCAGGGCTAAATTTCTCTACTGAAAGCCCTTTTAAGAAAAACCCTGCTACCAGCTCCTGTAGTAGCCTCACTACAGGCTTTTCCAAAATGTGTGTGGAAAATCGTTTATCTCCATGTCAAATCCATTCTCCACAACCAGTCACTTGCTGCACCAATGCTCATTTTAACACTTGTCATGGTGACCTCCACAAGTTCCAGGTCCCTGTTCTTGGCAATTCTGGTTACTTTCCTTGCACAGAGTTCACCGGTGGGACTTCCCGGCACTTACAAGAACATATCACACAGTCTGATCTGCTATCCCACTACTGCACAAGCTCCTTGCAACTAAGCACTGCACCCTCTGTCTATTTTAAGGGCTCTCACCTCTGTGATGTCTGCTTGGAAAAGGTTTGTCTTATGCCTCTGGTTTCAATTGCATACAGTGAAATTTATCTTTGTATATTATGATTTCTTGTCGTTGGCTCATCTGCCATATTCTAACCACTGCAATTTGATAGACTAGCTTTTGTATCCTGAACCATTCTGCCATTGACTATCTATTGGATGGGATATTGCACAAGTTCATTCAGCAATACTTGGCAGTGGTGTTTTTAAAGGGACACAATTACTTAATTCTCCTGCCACCGTGACAATTTCTGCTTTTTGAAGTGGTGGTAGTAGTCTGTACATGCAGTGATTCAGCCTAAAAAAACTGAATACTTGGATATTGTGTGCTGGGGGCTAGTAGCACCCACAGCTCTGTTCCATGGCTCACGTTTGTCAGCGTGCACAGTGAGCTGGGAACAGGTGTAAAAACTATCCGTTGGCGCTCCCTTCCACCATTCAAAAACTGGAAGAAGTCCTCCCTCGATAGAGCATGCGCATGCCATCAGATGGCAAATCGGTCCAGTAACAGGCTTCTTTATGCAAACCCTGTGATTGGACCATGGATGTGCCGGGTGATGTCATGACTAGAGCTGTGCTCCTGGCTGTCAGAAGGCAACTTTTTTCCAACCTTTTATAACTTTGATTGGTGACCACACCAGTTACATCCAGTCGACCAACTGGAAATGTTTCACAGCATTTTTATTTATTTATTTATTTTTGTCTAAAATGCTGCATGCACAACTTTGAGTTATGACCTCTCAGAAGGGATTTAGTTTCATCTGTGAGTGGCAGGTTCACTGAACAGTGCATTGAGGATCAAATATACATTCACTTGTATTAAAGATGAATGGTTAATTTGGCCCCTATTTCCCTTTAAAAGAAATACAAAACTGTTTTTTGGCAAATGTTAATTCAGAGAATCACATTTTCCCCCAAATGTTAAATGGCAAGAAAACTGATCTTAAAGAATGAAGGGGCTTTCAGAACAGTGTTAGGTTAAAAAACGTAAGACTAGTGTGGCATGGGTATAAAAACCTGAGCTGGTGGGCTGTGTATTTTAGTCCTGTTTTGTTCCTCTGCAGCCTTCAAGTAATACAGTGATGGATGTTAAAAAAGTGTGGCCCAATATTCCTCCTCCAAGCACTCTGCCTGTTCCTGTCCCCTTATGCAATGGCTGTGGCACGCAAGGAACTGTGAAAGAGACTGCCTTCATACTGGCAAGTAATTTCCGCAAAGCCTCACTAAAATATGGTAAGTTTAGCAAGAGCATTTTTACTTTGAATATATCTATATTTCAGCGTTTACCAGCAGTCTGGGACTTCTTTCTCGTATTTCCCTTTATTTATTTTTTTTAATTTTTTTTCCTGAACTCTCTTCAGGAAATTCAGGCCTGTGGAAGAAGGTTCTTTAGTTTGAACTGCAACATGACTTCATTGACATTCTTGAATTTAAATACATGTATTCTTAATTGGTGTTATTACCGCTCTCCTCACCCCATATGTATTATCTTCGTATTTCACTTTAATACTGTATCAGAACACAAATTTTGAATTCATTGTGTCTTCTTGCTCAGAATTGCTCTAGACCAAGGATAGGCAACCTTCGGCACTCCAGATGTTGTGGACTACATCCTCCATAATGCTCTTACACGCATCATGGGAGGTGTAGTCCAAATAATCTGCAGTGCTGAAGGTTGCCTATGCCTGCTCTAGACTTTAGAAAGGGAGGATCTCTTGGCATAGGTCTACAAATTTTAATACTAGGGCTATAGAGAGGCGTGTTTTTGTTTTTTTTTTTCATACATTTCATGACTGGAGAAAAACAAAACCTTTTTTACAATTAACATATTGGATTACTACAGTCAGATTGCAAGTGGTTGGAAATGCATGGAATGAGCAAGTGCAGGAGGAGGAGCTGTTAAATGTCTTTGACCACTATTGTACTAGTTATGGCACAGGGCGAACTTGAAGCAATTTCTTTATTCCTGGATAGCCCAGCCATGGTCATGCGTGTATACAGTTGGCAGCTCTGTATGCTGTGACACACAAACTGAGCTTGGCTATCGGGTGGGGGATACTTTATTGACGAAACGGAGCTTTATAACACGTGGAGCCTCTTTCTGGTCATGCGTTGTCAAATTTAAAAAAAGTGCCAGTTTTATTTCAATATATAGCAATCTTTCAATGAGCATTGAAAGTACTGTCAGTGTTTGGTGACATGGAGGCTTGGTGAGCAAGTGCAAGATGAGATTCTTTGAAGGTATATGCAACTTGTGCGTTCCTCAAAACAAAAAATGCACAATACCCAAATACTGAGAAGAGAATGGTTTTGGAATAATTTGACAACAGCCTATATTACCGTGTTCCATCATTTCCAAATGGATGGCTGCAGTAATGACCATAGTTAATGCATCCATATTCAAGTACCTCTAATTATACACAAAAGACTGATTTTGTAAACGCACATTACTATACCTTCTTAGACTACAAAACCCTTTGAACCTAGTGTCTCAATGTTACCAAGTGGGATTGAATAGGTAGGCACTTAATTTTGGGACTTGTTTCCCTAGAGGAGAACACACTTGCAGGGTTATTCATTAAAATTGTCAGGAATTGAACATGAATTCTATGAGCTTCAAATTTAATGCCAAAGTAGCCAAACTGAAAGTATAGCCAACATGGAGCTTTTTAAAAAATAAATAAAATAAAATGTAAATGTATAATTTCCCAAAACTCTCCCTTTAGTAAATCACTGTTGGCTTTGTTATTATTCTGCTTAATCCACAGTGTTTAAATCCTAGTCATTACAACATGCTTACTGATACACTATATGTGCATTCCACCTCAATTTGTTGTGTTCCACTGTCATTATGATGCTTGATGCCAAAATTTTCTCTGGTTTTGGATTAATGCATTTAAATACCATTACAGCTTAGCACATCACCAGATGCAGTGACTATGAGCTACTGTACGCCAACACCTAAGTCCTGTGCACATGTCTTGTTTTAAGGGTGGTGTCTTGGTTTTTCTTCCTTTCAGGATCCCCTGATTTGCAAGCTGCTGGGCAGTTGCAAGAAAACTTGCCTCCTATTGGTGTATTTTGGGACATTGAAAACTGCTCTGTTCCCAGCGGACGCTCAGCTGTGACTGTGGTGAAGCGAATTCGTGAGCGTTTTTTCAAAGGTCACAGGGAGGCAGAGTTCATCTGTGTCTGTGACATCAGTAAAGAAAACAAAGAAGTCATTGAAGAGCTTAACAATTGTCAGGTAAGCGTCTAATCTGAAAGTACATGAGCACTTGGGGTGTTTTTTTTAAACCCTTATTTTGTGTATGATTTCTTTTCCTCCCATCTGTAGTATAGAACTACTGGAATAACTTAAATGCAGTACTCAAAAGGAAGTAGATCATGTATTATGAAATATATTTGTGTATTCATACTCAGGACATACTTGAAAACAAGAGAAATCTCAACGTATCTTTCCTGGTAAAATATTTTATAAATATAGTGGTGAGACACCATTTAAAATGACTTTTATTGTTAAAGGGACACTAGTCACTATAACCACTTTCTCTCTTTGAATTGATTATATTGCCTGGAGTCCCCTTGCACTGTCCCTCCATTCAGTGTTGCACCATGTTTGTGCAGTATGCCACAAAATAAGTCCCTGGCCACCCACAGTCTGGCCCCTTCAGTATGTGTAGCTAAGGCAGAGATTACACACTTCCTTGTTGTCATACCCATTCATACCGTCAGTTGGAGCTCTGACAGGTTAAAAGCAGTCAGCTGACACTCTCAGCCAATCACAGCTGCCCATTGCTGCTCGGGGTAATACTTCCTTATTAGCCAAAGCAGCACAGAGGGGATGGACTGCCGTGGTCTCTTGTTTAACATTAAAACATTACAACATTAAAAACTGTTTAATGCTGAAAGAAATGATGGCACCAGGGGACTCCATACACTATATAACCATTCATTCATTGATAAAGGATTCATCTAAAATAACTGTCCCTTGATATTGGTCTAATTAAAAATAAAAAAAGGAAACTGCAAAAAAGCTAGATAACATGGATTCTTAAACTAGTTGTGCATTATCCCCCCCCTTGCATATTTCTTCCTCCCCAGTGTGTATTTGTGCAGAAGCCATTTCAGTGTCTGTCCTCTTTCCCTTTTATAGGTTACTGTTGCTCACATCAATGCCACAGCAAAGAATGCTGCAGATGACAAACTCCGGCAGAGTTTGAGAAGGTTTGCCGATACACACACGTCTCCTGCTACTGTGGTTCTGGTTTCCAGTGAGTAAATTCTGCCATTCCCTGCAGTGGGGTTTTTTTTTTTTTTTTGTTTTGTGTTTTTTTTCTGCAAATATGATTTCCTTTACAGACCTCTAAAACTGACAGTGATGATACCTGCTTTTATGAACCTGAAGAAATGCATCCTGATCTTGGCTGCTTCTAAAGCCTTGCTGGAAACTATCTATCTGTTTTGGGTGGTGTGATTTTTGTAGGCGCCCCCTCCCCTCTAGGGAAACTTAAAACCGGGCTAGGCTGGCGGTCAATGTTACAGTATTCATGTAGGTTGCTTTACTTTTCTTATGTTGTAGTCACCCTGTACCATTTATATGTGCAGGGTGTGTAATTGTTTAGTGTGTATACTGTTAAATGTATTGCCTGCTATCCCATACTGCTGAGGATTGCTACTAACTAGGTGGATTTGGAGCTTGTGTAGTGCCCTCTGTAGCAATATGCACTGCCTGAATAGTTGGGCAGAGGGGACGGAACCTGCCTGGAAGGAGAGCTGCTGCCTGGTTTGGTGCAAAAGCTCCAGAATGACCCCAGTCAAGCTGCGGCGACTTGGGCAGAAGTGTTCCAGGGTCCTAGGAAGCGAACTTGGCGGAGATACCCAGCAAGGAAGCTCTGTCACAGTGGAATAGACTCAAAGCAGTTGGGTCAGCACTTGACCAGATAGTGTTTGTGTGGGTTTTTTATTTATATTTTTAATAACCGCAATGAGAAGAGGTCTTCTAATACAATCTCAAATGTATTATGAAAAAAGTGAGCTAGATGTTCCTTGTATCAAGGCTTTTTTTTTTTTTTTCCTCCTCTCCTTCAGCTGATGTCAACTTTGCTCTGGAACTCAGTGATTTGAGACATCGACATGGCTTCAATATCATACTGGTTCACAAGAACCAGGCCTCTGAGGCTTTGCTTCATCATGCAAACGAACTGATCAGCTTTGAAGAATTTATTTCAGACCTGCCTCCCAGATTACCTCTTAAAACACAAGTAAGACTCCACTCGTCATTGTGATTGATCCTACAAATACTGTTAAGTGCAATATTTATAAAGTTTACTTTTTTTTTTTTTGTACTTGCAACCTTATTAAAAATCAGTGTTTCAAAATAAACAGACATGATTTTAATGCACTGTAATAAATACATTTTATTCTCAAAACATATATCTATTTACAGAGATGTTGGTTACATACACATCTACAATGTAACCTTGATTTTAGAATACTAATTTGAATGTTCATTTGCGCAGATATTTAAAGCCTTAAATGTTTCTGCTGTTTTTTTTTTTTTTCTCAATATATGAAGCAAATTTAAAAGCCAAACTAGTCCATGTCTTGTCTTTAAGTTATTTTGCTCTGATTCTTTATGTAATTTGTGCAGGCATAAACATATATTCTGTTTTATTAACTTGATCCTTGTGTTAATTATTGCATTTTAGTGTGCCCATCAGGGAGGGGTGTTTTCTCTCTAACTGAGTAGCTGTGTAACTTTTTATTTTTTTTATTCCACCCCTTACCATTACAGCAGTGCCATACTCTGTTATATGTGTACAACTTGCCAACAAACCGAGACACAAAGAGTATCAGCAACCGTCTACGGCGCTTGTCTGATAACTGTGGAGGGAAAGTAATGAGCATCTCTGGCAGCAGTGCCATCCTCCGTTTCCTTAACCAGGAGAGTGCGGAAAGGGCACAGAAGCGCATGGAGAACGAGGATGTGTTTGGCAACCAAATCACTGTGTCCTTCATGCCTAAAAATAAGGAAGTGACTGAAACAAAGACTTCTAATGGCATATGTGGCGATAAAACGAAGTCTCCCAAGAAAGCGAGCAAGAATACCAAACTGTGCCTCACTTTTAAAGATCCGCACGACCAGTCCTTAAATGCCAAGGCTGCTTCCAACAAGGGATCTCAAGGCTCTGGCACTAAACACTCAAATGTAAAAAGTCTGCAGGTAAAGCCAGTGGGGATTTATTGCCTACATAAATCTGGCATTTGCAACATTCTTATCCTTGATTTTGTATCTGATTTAAATCAATTTTATCCAATGTATTAATGTTAGAGGAACTATTACTTTATAGGTTTTCTTTTCAGTGTTATGGTTTGTGTATCTGTATATTTATAATATGTATTTGAGATGTCAAAAATAAATTAAATGTAGACTTCCACCCTTTATTTAGTTCTCTCAATCGTCTGAAGCGCAGACATTTGCACCTGGCAGTCAGCACAAGAAAGCTTAGAAAGAATGGAAGAGGAAGAAAAATGTTTTTATTTGCAATGTTTGCCTTGTCTAAACTGGGTTGTATCCCTTACTAAAGAGACTTTCAAGGTTTTATGCAGTGCTAAAAATGTGACCATTCCCTTTAACAGTAGTATTATTCCTCCAATACACATTGAGCGGTCTTGGGTAACAGAGAAAATTGCATCTCACAGTAGATCTATCTTCAGTTTGAGTTGGTCAGTCTAGGTTACATTTTTCCACCTCATCATTCTATAGCATATCACCAAAATCTGAAAGACAATTTGACTGGGGGAGGGAATAACACTTATGCACAGCAAAAATAACAGCTGGCTTTTTTATTTTCTTCTTCCCTTTAAGGAGCTGTGCCAAATCCAATCAAAATCAAGCAACCGAACTGTGAGCCTGCAGGATAAAGACAAGAAGAAAAATGGAGACAGGCTTGACCTTATAGTAACCCAAAGTAACCCAAACCAGGTGTTGATGACCAATAAAGTCATAGGCAAAGAAGAAGCAGTCCTTAAAAGCACTAAAAAGTAGGTCTCTAATCCTATATATAAACTGTTTATAGCTGACACCTACCTTTCCAGCTCATGGCTTCTCAGATCCCCCTCCACTCAGACTTATTATATATTTGCTGCAATTTAAAGTGTTGTATAAATCCATCTGACACTTAAAACAAAACAAACAAAAAAACCATTGTCTATTTGTTATAAGAACGGACTGTTCATCTGGCATTGTTTTACCTTTTTTATTTTTGGTGGGGAATTACTTATTGCAAAAAAATCAGGTGTGTGTGATGGATTTATTTCTTTTTCTGTTCTTTTCCTGTTGCAATAAAAATGCATGGTATATAAGTAATTTACCTAATTAAGCTATTTACATAACTTTTTGTTTGTTAATAGACGAGAAGATGTCTGCCTTCAAAGCCGCTCAGACTCTCCCATGGAGAGGAAAAACGAAGAGGAGGCACAATTTCATGTCAGTAACCCATCTGCTTTCAGTAAACTCTCAGGGCCGAGACAACAGAGTCCTCTGAGGGAATCTAAAAAGTGTTGGTCTTCAAGGTAAACTCTTTTCTGGTTGTTTGCAATAGAGATTTGAATTCGTCACAACATTCACTTGTATTTACTCTGTATCTTTCTGTAGGAGCTTGTCTCCGAGCCTCTCAAACTGTTCTTCGCCTTTTGCTGCTAATTCAACTGATGCTGCAGATCTATCTGATCCATTTGCAAATGGTGCTGATATTCAGATTGGTAATCTGGACTATAGGATGTCAAGGAAAGAGCTCCTACAAACATTGCGTGATATATTTTCCAGGCATGGAAAGGCAAGTACATGTGACGTGTTGTATTTCCTTATCCAACAATTACTCTGGTGCTGATTTATTTATTTATTTTTTATTTTTTTTTATTTTTTTTTAGTGGTAGTCATACCCTGCATCTTCCAAAGTGAAAGAATAACATTTCCAGCATCTGCATAGTTTTCTGAATGGTTATAGATCACTGGTGTTTTAAAGGGACTACGCACTGCCCAAATATAAAAATCACTTTTTAATATACCCAAATAAACTCATACATGCATTGAATAATATTGTCTCTTACATTGCAGACTAGTAAGTTACAGGACAATTTGTTTAAAAAATGTACCTTGTTACACCCCTGACTGTCCGCTCATTTTACATAGACTGCAGATTTAAGTAGAATTGGCACTGACACTCTTCACAAGTGAAGCACTTCATAAAGTCATCTTTGTCTTGAGTGTCCCTTTAAGTACTCTGACTACTTCTACCTATTCAACTACTGAAGTTGGGAAACCTCCCCCATCACTTGCTAATTTGGCTATTCATAAACCGAGAACGTTCAAAAATGTCTGGTCCATTCAACTCAATGTGTTTTCAGTTTGGCTATAGAGATCCTTTTGTACTCTTTCTGCTCAGTGGATAAAAGTAAAGTGACACAGAATTATTCAAAAGATATTGGAAGTGGCATTTGCACTTAGAGTGGTAATCCACAAGATTAGTGTGAGCTTTTTATCTTTTATGTTGCTCCTCAGAACTTGCCAGCAAATGCAATTTGGGACCCTGTGGGCATATTCACTTTATTGCAATAATGTTATGTTGCAAGAGGGTCCTGGGAGCTGCCTTAACGTAAAAGATTGAACATTTAATGATTTAACGCCAAACTTTGAAAAATGGTTCATGATTGCGCTGCCCACCAACTTTATTTCTTGGTCTGAGCTTTAAGTGAGGAAGCCTCATTAAAGCACTGCTTATGGACTACGATCCAATTTCAGAAGAGTGAGTGTGTATATAATTTTTTTTTTTTTTTTAAAGCGCATTTAAACACTACACTAATGCCTTTGCTTTAAAAAAAATTTTTTTTAATTTAAACCTGAAGTTTGATCCACGTCTAGGACTATTATATATATATATATATATATATATATATAATTTTTTTTTTTTTTTACCTGCATCACTGTTTTTAAATTCAGATAAAGCATATGGAGCTGAGCCCTCATACAGACTATCAGCTGAAAGCCACGATTCAGATGGAAACTCTTCAGGAAGCAATCTGTGCTGTTAATAACCTACATAGATACAAGATCGGAAGCAAGCGAATCCAAGTTTCTTTGGCTACAGGGGCTACTAACAAATCCCTTTCGCTTTTAAGGCAAGTGTTACTATATTCTTGATAGAACCCTTATGCTGCTGTCCAAACAGTCAGCACTATCTATTTTAGATACTACTTGCATATATTTATTTATTTTATCTTTTTCCCCGCACAGTTTTGCAACAATATCTATTCTTCAAGATGCTCCAGCCTGTTGCCTCCCTTTGTTTAAATTCACAGAAATATATGAAAAGAAGTATGTACTTGATTCTGTCAGTATATGTGCTCTTATGTTTTCCCCCACCTCCCTCATTTTGTTAGAATAGATGCCTACAGGCATGCTTGGAACTTGGGTTATAGATAATTTTTGATTTCCTTCATTTATCTTGTGGACTTCATCCATGGGACTTAACTTTTTTGTAAAAAAAACCCTTTGTTTTAAAATATATAATATATAATATAATATTCATATTCTACTTCGTTTGTATCTGTTAATCTATATTTTCTTTATACTGTGAACACTTCAATTCTTTACCCCCACTTCCCTCTCTTGTGTTCAACCTACAATAATGTATTAATGCACTGTTATCCTGATAACTTTTAGTTGAAAATTTGTCAGATAAAATCAGTATGTATTCCCCTCTACCCCCTAAAATTTGTATATAATCTTTCCTAGCTACATTAGTGTCAAATATATTCCTCTATTTTATTTTAGATTTGGACACAAGCTGATTGTGTCAGATTTGTACAGATTAACAGACACTGTTACTATCCGTGACCAAGGAAATGGACGATTGATTTGTCTATTGCCCAGCATTCAAGCTAGGCAAAGCCCACTGGGATCTTCTCAGTCGCATGATGGCTCGTCCACAAACTGCAGTCCTGTGGTATTTGAGGAGCTGGAGTACCATGAGCCTGTCTGTAGACAGCACTGCAACAATAAAAAATTAAAGTACGTAACGGTTTAATAATCCAGAGACTCCTACCTTTTGGTAGACAAACTCTTTCAACACACAACATAGTTTTGTTTAAAGTGTTGGTTAAGCTTGTGGTTCTGTTGATTTGATTCTCAGTCAGCTTACAAAACAGAAGCTAGTCTAAACAGAAAAACATTAGTCTTTATGATATTTTCCAGGGAAGGCAGAAGAGCAGCATGGAGACACTGGAGGGCAAAATAAATCTAGCCTTTTAACCCCTTAAGGACTAAACTTCTGGAATAAAAGGGAATCATGACATGTCACACATGTCATGTGTTAAGGGAGAGGGACCTTGAATAGATAAACCCTACTGCTTTTGGATAAATGATTGCATTCCTAATGCTAAGGTGCATGAAGTCCTTTTTTAAAAAACTGTTTAGAGAACAGTTTTATCTTTAGATTCCCACAGTTGACTTTTTTTTTTTGCAATTCATAAACCAGATCCTATTGTATATTTTTCAGTGAGCATGACTTTGACCCAGACTCTTACGTAATCCCGTATGTCATCCTTTCTTTGAAAACGTTTGCCCCACAAGTTCACAGCCTTTTGCAGACTCATGAGGGTACAGTTCCACTTCTGAGGTGAGTGTATACATTTTTGTATTTAATTTATTTGTACAATTTGAAACGCAAAAGTGTCTGTGTTTTTTGTTTTTGTTGTGTGTGTTTTTTTTTTTTTTTACGTTTAATTATTTTGGTTTGTCCTCTTCCGGTTCCTCTAGCTTTCTTGATTGTTACGCTGCAGAGTTCAGTGCTCTTGTTCAAGTCCAAGAAGAACAAGGCGGGGTTCCTCTTGAGCACTTAATAACCTGTATACCTGGTGTTAATATTGCAACTGCACAGAATGGAATTAAAGTTGTGAAATGGATACATAACAAGCCACCTCCTCCAAATACTGGTGAGTTTTAAATCTAAACTTATAATAGAAACAAAAAAAATACAGGGCGCCAGAAACTAAACTTGCTGGAAGTGATATATAGAGGCATTCTGACAACATAAACTGGAGGTTACCTGTCGGCCTAAACTTGTCCAGCATGTTCATGCAATACAAATCCCTCCCTTCATAGTTTATTATGAAGGGGCCAGAGCTGCGGCCAAGTGCAATTAAGCAGTTGTCTGATATCAGCAATAATGTATCTATCAACTTGGGCAATATTTTTTTTTTTTTTTGTTTAATGGAATTTCTGCTACGTAGTTAACTGTGTTTCCTAAAACCTCCCTAAAGAGAATTGATTGGTTATGGTGCATGAAATGTTAAAGAGACACTGTAGTCACCATGACAACTACAGGTTATTGTATAATTATTCCCTTTAGGCTTTTTGCACTAAACACAGTCTTAGAGAAAATGCAGTGTTTATATTACAGCCTAGGGATACCCCAACTGGCGGCCACTCATATGGTTGCTAGAAGTACTTCCTGGGGCAGTGCTGTACAATGTGAAGCATGAAGATTCAGTATGTCCACTCTCTGCATGCAGACACTGAACCTTCCTCAGCTGTATTGATTTAATGTATCCATATTCAATAGGGCATTGGGGAGGGGAAGGTTAAGGAATACTGGTTTGTTCTTGACCCTCTAGTGTTCCTTTAAAATGTCTTATTTTTTCCTCTTTTAGATCCTTGGTTATTACGGTCTAAGAGCCCAGTTGGTAATCCTCAGTTGATTCAATTCAGTAGAGAAGTGATTGATCTTTTGAAGAGTCAACCATCATGTATAATGCCGGTAACAAAGTTTATCCCAACATACCACCACCATTTTGCAAAGCAGTGTCGTGTGTCAGACTATGGATATTCTAAACTTATGGAACTGTTGGAGGCTGTTCCTCATGTACTTCAGGTGTGTACTACCAGAGATGAACTTGGAATTCCAGTCAGTGGTATACTTTAGAACCTTGTGCACACCCCCAGTTTCTAGAGCCATATAACATTCCAAGCACCACAACAAATTGTGCATTTTGTGGATGCTTTTTTGGGTGGGGGCGTAAGTTGTGGTGCACGTAACATACCAATCACCTTCATTCATTTTGGTGCTAAATGCCTATTACCTTGTGTGGAGTGCTTTTATTGAAAGCTCCATAGTCTGCTTCCAGCCTAGTTAAATATTTTCATTCATTATTAAAACCACTTTCAACCTGACCATAGAACTTGGTTTAATTGGAACATCTAGGCAACTGTACTATATATAATTTATTTTTATTTTTTTTTGTCTACTTTTGTTTTTTGTTTTTTCACCATATTAGATTCTTGGCATGGGTTCCAAGCGTTTGTTAACCCTGACTCACAGAGCACAAGTAAAGCGCTTTACCCAAGACCTCCTGAAACTCCTCAAATCCCAGGCCAGCAAGCAGGTCATTGTAAGAGAATTCTTACAAGCTTACCACTGGTAAGTATTTCAAAGTGAGTTGACCTTCTTTAACTGAAAAGTGGTTTCACTGGCCCACCCCATTAGGGGATGTAGTTTTATTTGAATAGATAGGCCTATTCTTTTACCTTTTTGCATAGACCAAGTCATGATGCATTGTGTATTGTTTAAAATTGCATGTTAACGTGTGATCAATAGGAAATACATTTCAAACAGGACAGTGGTCTTCTGAGGTTTGGGTACTTTGTATATGAAGTGACTGCTCTATTTATACAGTTTCACCACCTCTTATTCCTTCACCCAAAAAAAGCAATTTCAGCCTTTCAGGTTACTGGTACAGCCGGGGTAAGTCTAAAACTTGCCTCTGCTGCACTACTCCTGGCAATTTGAAACTTTGCTACGCCTTAATATAAAGTTAAATGTCACAACCAACAGCTAGCTTTCCGTGACCGTTCTCCTAGAAAAACCTCATGTTTTTGTGTTAATTTTTTTATATATATTTCATATTTAGTTTGACCTGCATGAACTGTTATTCTAATGTACTAGTAAGTAGTTGTATTGTGAACTGAAAGTCTGTTTATTTTGTTTCTATTCCAGGTGCTTTTCAAGAGACTGGGATGTAACTGAATATGGCGTGTGTGAGCTTTCTGACATTGTATCAGAGATACCTGATACCACTATATGTGTGTCTCAGCAAGATAATGATTTCATAATTTCAATTCCTAAAAGAGGTATAGTATTCTGCTGACCATTTTGTACTTTTGGCTTTTTAAATTAAAATTTACAAACCGATTTCTACTACAAGGTGTGTGTGTGTGTGTGTGTGTGTGTGTGTGTGTGTGTGTGTGTGTGTGTGTGTGTGTGTGTGTGTGTGTGTGTGTGTGTAGGAGGAGAGTGACACTTTTTGCATGGGAAGGTGGGGTTTTTTGTGCTTAGACATTCTTGTAACTTATTTAGTTTTGTTAGCTAGCTATACTATATGCTTCAGTCATTTATGTATTTTTCATCTACAGTGTGCATTCAGTTTAAATCTCTTTAAAATTGTGAAGCCGTCACGAAATAGCCCCTCCATACCTGCCATAAGCAATCCGTTCCTGTGACCGATTTAAAGCAAACTGGTGATTACTGCTGAACAGGCTCTGATTGCCATAGTCAATCTGAGAATGTATGCCTGTTAATTGATGTAACTCTAGCAATGTGATTGCTGTCAAAGTTCTAAGGAAGATTTGTATTAAGTTTCTTTAGAAAATTGGTAGATTTATTTGAGGGGGGGATATTTATTACTGCAAAACAATTTGGCCCAAAAGGTAAATATAAAAGTTCTGAACTACAACTCCTTAAAAGGTCTATGCCTTTAAATACAAACCATGTCAGCAATTTGCATTTTGGTGTTTTCCTGGTGGGGCTGAACCAGATTCCTTGCACCCCTAATTCATAGAAGGTGGATGTTCTCCCTACTTTCACTGTTCATAGGTGCATTAATAGTGCCTGCAGTCCACTCACACCTTCTCATTCAGTATTGTTTTTTTGTTTAATGTGAAATGAAGGAAGTGTATAATCTCTGCCCATGCCATACTTCCTGTAGGGACCAAGCTGTAGGTGGCCAGGCACACTTATTTAGTGTTAAACTGCTCATGAATGGTTTACCATTGGATGGAGGGACTATGACAGAAGTCTCCAGCACTATATCCATTTTTTCATGAGATGTTGTGCCTACATTGTCATTTTAAGCAAATGTATATAGTAAAATGGTATAACTATCTTGTAAAGTTATTTTGGGGCTAATGACCTAAGAGATGCTTACATGGCACCTTACTTGTCCACTGCTGGATGTCTCCTGACAACAGACTCTTAGTAAGAAGCATCTCACCCTGGTATCTAGCGTCTCATCACTCGCTCATGTTTTATCCTTCTGCTGTCTTCACTCCTGTATGGTGAATTCAGCATTATGACTTGGCTATTCCTGAACTGGATATGTACAGCTGGAATCTCAAACTCCACTCTCCAGATATTCCTGAACTAGAACTCCCATGATTCTCTGGCCATCTCTGCAGATGAATTTAAAGAATTCTAGGAGTTGGCAGGCCAGATGTGAAATCCTAGAAATACACTTGCTTCCTGAGCCACTGTTTCCCAGCTGGTAGTCCTAGAAAACATGCAGCAGACTATAAATAAAAACCTTGTTAAGCGGCTCATCTTTGTGCCGATGACATAATGAGTGTGTACTGAAGTAGAAAAAATGTTGCAATGCAGGTCAAGTTATTTTTAAATTGCAGAACATTTTAAGCCGAGTGACCTCTAACAGACCTGGAGTCTAACATATTTTAATGCTAATGTTAGCGCCCAATAGAAATTCTATGCTAAAAATAATCTACCCCTCATTTGCTAGTATAAAAAAAAAAAAAACTATGGTATCCTAAATGCCACCTGTGTTTGGGGCCTTGTGATGTAATTAAAAAGGATCCACAGGGCACTGAGATGACATTTATAGTGTTATGCCTCTGTGTAGCATGAGCCACATTCTAAATTTGTAGCAGTATAATATCATGGTATATGAACACTCGGCTTGTTGCAATAGTTTTGATATCAGATTAACTTTATATAATTTTCTTCTTAAGAACGTACTCCAGAAGAAATAGAGCGGACAAAGCAGTTTTCTAAGGAAGTGGTTGACTTACTACGCCATCAGCCTCACTTTCGGATGCCTTTCAATAAGTTTATTCCGTCCTACCACCACCACTTTGGTCGCCAGTGCAAACTGACATACTACGGGTTCACTAAACTGCTCGATCTCTTTGAAGCCATACCAGATGTTTTACAAGTAAGTGCTGCCCTGAACTAAAGCGTGCTCGGTTTGTATCTTCACTTGGATTCCCTCCAAACCAGAAAATCTATTGCATCAGAACATTATCGTGTTACTTTATATTTGTGCGATTAGATACCTAAAGCTGCCTGCATACTTTTTGTGGTGCATTGAAACAAGACCTTTCTCATTATCTAACTTATGATTCCGCATTTACTTTCACCTTTTTAAATATGAATGTACTTGCTGGGTAAACATTGAATCCAGTTTCCTGTAGGAATCTAAAGGAGCAATGCACTCTTATGCATTTCCACTTGCTTGCATGAGTCTTACGTGATTGAGCCTTCAGTGAGTGCAGGATGTTCAGTGTCTGCATTGCTCACTCTTTGTAGGTCTTAGAATGTGGTGAGGAAAAGATTTTGACCCTGACGGAAATGGAGCGTATTAAGGCTTTAGCATCACAACTTGTTAAACTTCTGCGGTCTCAAAAAGACGCCTCTCTTATGATGCCCAACTTGCTTACTGAATATAGCAAGACGTTTGGCTACAGTCTGAGGCTCCACGACTATGATGTCAGCTCTGTGCCAGCGTTGATGCAGAAACTCTGCCATGTTGTTAAGGTAATGGTTCTTGGCGGGGTCACAAGCACAACATGGTCAATACTTTTACTTTGGTTTTTGGGCTTAGTCTTCAATCACAACTTTAGTTTTGTACATGGATTGCTCTGCTGCACTCTGGGGAATCACTATCTTAATGTTGGATGGAAAGGACAAACCTAAGAATTTGTATGTCCTACACATGTCATACATTTAGATGTCATCACACACTGTTAAATTAGTTATTCTACAATCTAACCTTATAATGTAAATGTGTTAAATTTTATTTATTTTTGGCACTTTGTATTCAAAATTCAGGCTACCCCATTCTTCTACAATTTTGGATTAATTTTTTTTTTTGTGAGAAATTGCAGAGATTTGGTATCTAAAGATGGCTTCTTTAGAGTTATTGGCTTAAAGGAACAATCAAAGCACCATAACTACAGCCAACTGTTATGGTGCCAGGAGTGCCCTGGTCCTGTAAATGGTGTAACTGTGTAGGTATATATAATATAATAATTTGCCTCTGCTTTTCCTGAGCAGAGCTAGCTCATTGACTGAGAACATCAGCTGATGGCTCGCTGTCAATGAAATAAGCCTTGCACTGCTGGGCTTCACTCAGCCTTTGGCTTTCTATTGGAAGTAGTGGCGGCAGACCTCTGGTAAGGAGTCATCCGTATAATGGTTGGACACTCACTGGAATAACTAGTATACCGCTATGTACTGGTTTATGGTGTTAGGAGAAATAAAATAGTGTTCTTTGGGTTTTATAATATGATTCAATGTCTGTGTTTTTTTGTTTATAGTTAAAGCATAGGAAGTGCTTCTAATACATCTTCCTTTAGATTACAGGCATATCCTCTGGCAAGCAGATCCAGCTAATAAACAGAAAGTCATTGCGTTTGCTAACTGCACAGCTTCTCATCCTGCTGATGTCCTGGGATGACTCTTCCTACCTCACTGTAGATCAGCTTCGCCGACTCTATGAAGCTGTGCACGATGTTCCTCTTAATCCATGTGAATATGGGTTTTTGTCCTTGAGTGAACTTTTAAAAAGCCTTCCATACTTGGTTGAGGTAGGTTGAGGGGGTGGGGAATAATGAACAAAATACGACTAGATTTAATTTTTGGTGAGTGGTGTGTGTGTGGTTTTGTTTTTAAACACTCATTCACACGCAATGGCTAAACATTGGACTTTTTATTTATTTTTTATCTTGTGATTGTTTCATAATCACTCAATTGTATTGTTCGTGTATAGCAAAATAAATGCTTGCTCCTAGCTTTGCACACACAACTGAAGGTGAAATATAGACTTTTTTTTTTTTTTGCTTTTTCTACTACCCTATAGGTGCAAACAAATGATTCTTCTGAAGATATTGTGAAACTGACATCCCTTTATGTATTTGCAAAGAATGTTCGTTCCTTGCTTCATACATATCATTACCAGCAAATATTCCTGCATGAATTTCCAACGGCTTACAACAAATATGTTGGAGAAGTTCTGCAGCCCAAACATTATGGCTACAATAACTTAGAAGAGATATTGGGGGCTATACCACAGGTATGAACTTCTATTATGTAACAGGACACCTGCATACATTTTAGTTTGTGGGGTTTTTTTTTTTACTTTTTTTTTTTTTTCTTTAAAATCTATTTTAGGTTGTTTGGATTAAAGGTCATGGTCACAAGAGGATTGTGGTTCTTAAAAATGACATGAAACGTAAGTACAGCAGTTGTGTAGCCTACTAAATTTGATTTGTTATGGTCAGATGCATGGATGACATTCAATAAATATTGAATGATTAAAAAAACAACTTTGACTTTTTTTGTATTTTTTCAAAACTTTTTTCGGGTCTCTGGAGAATCAGAACAAATTGGTTTTCCTCTACCACTTCCTTAGTTATTGCCTAATGCTTAACTTGACATCTGCTTCTTGCCAAAGAGTAGCATGTTTTGTGGATTTTTTTGTGTGCTACGTCAACATTGTTCATCTTTGAAGGGTCACCTTGAGTTCAACATAGGCTTTTGTGGCTTCCAGTATCTCCCCCCCAAACCCCCCCCCCCCTCATTTTTAATGGCTTTTTTTTCTTACAATTTTTAAAGGGACACTCGAAGCATTAAAAACTTGTTGAAGCTTTTTTGCTGTATGTCTTATTGTTACATCCTCTGCCATTTAGAGGTTAGCTCAAATTTGAAATTTTTTTTGAATTCGATCTAATGGCAAAATATGAACTAAAGATAATGTCCAGATTGCACTTTAATTATACACAGGAGGCTGTTGTAGGCTATTAACAGACCAGGAAAAATGATAAACTAGATTAAACAATGAATAAGAGAAGCTAGAAAATGTATTCTTCCAGTAAGGTGTGTGGACACAGTCTAAATCTTATAATGTAAAGAGTACATTAAACAATATGTGGGAAAATGTGTTAGCAATAAATGCTATAAACCACCTGTAAGTTGAAATGTACCTTATACCACTCTAAACAATATAAAACAAACACATACAATAGGTGGAACACATCTGATGATTCAAATAGAGCTTGAAAGCTTCTTTTTTAGTCTACTTTTTAGGGAAAATATTTTTCTAAAACGCAATTCTTTTGGAAGCGGGTTGTCACAAGGAGCATCTCACACATGTGTGTGTGCGATGCTTCTTGTGACAACCCGTTTCCAAACTAATTTCATTTTTTATTAGAAAAATCTTTTCCCTAAAACGCTTTCAAGCAGTCTGAATCTTGTCCAGGAGAGTGAATATGGCTGCATATGTCAAATTTCAAAACTTAGAGACACTATATTCCTCAAATTTTTTTAGCTCAATGAAGCAGTTTTGCTGTATCTAAATACCTCTGAAGTCTCGCTGCTTATCTGCCTTTTAGGATAAGCACATCCTTGCATGTGACTTACTCAGCCTTCCTACACAATTCCTGTGAAGAGTTGTCTAATGTTTACACTACCGTTATTGCAAATTCAGTTTAATTTAGAACTTATCTCCAGCAGTTAATGGCTTGCTAGACCTTTACAGGTGCCTATTGTATGTGATTGAAGTTCAATTTACAGAGCAGGAGATGCACTTTTAAAGTAAGTTGACATGTCATTGAAAATAAAATTTTTGAGGTGTGACTTGGGTTGCATAAACAGTGATTTAATATGCAGTGAGACTGCAGGTGCATGATCTTCTACACGAACACTGCTTCCTTAAGATAAAGTTGTTTTGGTGACTAGTGTCCCTTTAATAAGACCACTTCTTAAATTTCATGGTCTCTATTTTTAGTTTTATTTTTTAACAGCTTATTGATTAGTGGCCACACCCCTAGGCTTTGTCCAAGAAAGCAATACTCTCCAATAAAGAATCTACTATAAACCAATCACCTTTTATTAAACTATGCCACATCCAATTGTCATTAAAGCCGCTTTTTACAAAGAAACCATAACAATTTTAACTCATCGTGTTCCTTTGGGATGTCCTGGCATCAACCTCAAGTTCCATGTCATCTAGTTTCCTCCAAATTGCCCTAGATCAAGGTTAGGCTACCTTTTAGCACTCCAGATGTTGTGGACTAAATTTCCCCTAATTTGCAAGCTTTAAGGCTATAATGGTGTTATGGGAGCTGTAGTCCAAAACATCTGGATCATGATCAATTCCCATAGCCTAAAAAATAACACATATGCTTCGTTCAGGACCAAGTAAGGTTATCCACTAATGTTTTGCTAATACCACCCCTTCATTACCTAATGTGTGATTACTTTAGCACATGACTCGTCATTTTTCTCATAGCCCATTAAGCTCAAGTTTTGGTGTTTTAATATCCATTTAAATCTTCTAAAGGGGGAAAAAAAACTAAATTGTTTCATGTGATTGCTCCTCTGGTTTGTTTGCACAAACTTTTTGTCCATGACCATATCTTCTATTCACTTTTGTATCTCACCCTCCCTTGTATTTGCTTGGATTTAACCCATTCTGGGAAACTATTTTTGTTTTCTTGTTCTTTCCCAGTCTGTCACCAAATGGACAAAGAACTCCTGTGCATGGAATCGCCAGTAGATCTTTTGTGCGAGCCTGTCCCATCATGTCTTCCCTCTCCACAGTTGTACCCTGACCCAGTAGGTCAGAAGGCTGATGACCTCATACAGTTTGAAGAGCATTTTACTCTTCCAAGTAAGACCACAACTAGTTGCTTGTTTTCTTTAGTAATCTTAAGCAGGAATGCATTTAAAATATACTTAATTGTACAGATTATTTTTTATTTTTTTAAATTTATCTCTGCTTTAGACATTGGCACAGAAAACAAATGCATCTTAACGCTGGTGATGCTATAAAATGCTATGGTAAAATAGTATAAATAAAGGAGAGAATGGCGCTTGAAGAAAGTCTAAATATGGTGCTGCTAAAATCCCAAAGTGTAAAGTCACTGTTACCACTTACAAACGTGGTATAATAGAAATAAAGTGATTTGCACACACTCTAGTTTACCTTGCATATCTACTTTCTTTGGTATCCAGTGTAACAGGGTTTCTTTATCCTATATTAAATGAATAGAGAAGATGCACGGCGTGATTTATGGAAATGGCGAATTTATGGAAATAGTCCGTAAACTCTCACTTTTCGGAGCCCGTTAAAAGTAGGCTCAGGACTGGTGGTGCATGTCATCTCATCAAGGAGATATTAGCTGAAATTTGCAAAAGTTGCTCTTTTCAGGAACTCTGTACTGCTAGCAAAACAGCAACTCCAGAGTCCAAGATGAACGTTTAAAAGGTGAGTATTTAACAGTATATGTTTAGGAAAAAACCCACAAATATAGCCCAACGTGTTTCAACCTATAGTGCAGGTAACTTTAAAATGAACAATTAACAAACCTAAACACACGTGTATGACGAGCCTTTGAAAAACCTCCCACTTCCAAATTTTGGTCTGGACCGGATATTGCACGCCATCACCAATATGGCGGTGTTTCCGGTCTCTGACATATTACTTATCCAATTCCAATATGTTAGCGCAAGCTGTATTTTCTGATCTTCTCTCTTTTTTACTTGTATGCGCTGATATGTCCTATCCCATGACGTACCTCCGGCATTCGCGTAGATTCTTTACAGCAGCATGTCATTTCATGTGGTGTCCTTCTGGGAGTTGATGTGTCACATGATTGGGCTGGTGTAGATTTTTTTTTTTTTTTTTAAATACCAGTACATTTAAGTGGGGGTCTTTATTGTGCATAATGAAATATTTGGATACTGTATGGTTTAAGTATTTTTAATATTTCTGCAATGTTCGCTCAGTCTTGTCTTAAGGCACCTTGTGGTCATCCCCACATATTGGAGGCCGCATGGGCACTCGAGCAGATAAATAACTTTGTTCCAATACAAAAAAAAACAAAACAAAAAAATCATAACTATTATACACTTTTTTTTGGTCCTATTGGACATAAATTGGGTAACTTTGGATGGAACAAAAGGATCTGTAGTTTTACACACTATACAGTGTTTGCATTTATGAAAACCTTTTGTCTGAGGGAAAAAATATTCTTAATAGGAGATTAAAAAAAATATTTTGCATATTTACTTTTTATTGTGGCACAGCCCTTTTCTATCTTTGTTTTTATTTGTTTTAAACCCACTGTTAAAGGACCACTCTAGGCACCCAGACCACTTCAGCTTAATGAAGTGGTCTGGGTGCCAGGTCCAGCTAGGGTTAACCCATTTTTTTATAAACATAGCAGTTTCAGAGAAACTGCTGTTTATGAATGGGTTAAGCCTTCCCCCTAATCCTCTAGTGGCTGTCTCATTGACAGCCACTAGAGGCGCTTGCGTGCTTCTCACTGTGATTTTCAGTGAGAGCACGTCAGCGTCCATAGGAAAGCATTATGAATGCTTTCCTATTTGACCGGCTGAATGTGCGCGCAGCTCTTGCCGCGCGTGCGCATTCAGCCGACGGGGCGGATCGGAGGAGGAGAGCTCTCCGCCCAGCGCTGGAAAAAGGTAAGTTTAACCCCTTTTCCCCTTTCGGGAGGGGGACCCTGAGGGTGGGGGCACCCTCAGGTCACTATAGTGCCAGGAAAATGAGTTTTCCTGGCACTATAGTGGTCCTTTAATAAATACTCACCTTTTAAACATTAATCTTGGACTCTGGAGTTGCTGTTTTTGCTCTCAAAGGGCGACTGCTGCAGGTTTCATCTAATATCTCCTTGAGTTGACATGCACCACCAGTCCTGAGCCTACTTTTAATTGGCTCTGAAAAGTGAGTTTACTATTTCCATAAATTCAGAAATATTATATACAGGTTACGCTATGTGTATTTTTTTTTTTTTTTTCCTAGTTTAATATAGGATAAAGAAACCCTGTTGCACTGGTTGCCAAAGAAACTATATATGTAAGGTAAACGAGTCTCCTGTGTGTGCAAATCACCTTGTTTATTTCAATTAAAAGGATATACCTGTCCCTGTGATCACTACAGCTACAAATTTTCACTGACCTTTCCTCCAGAGGAGAGCATAAATTCAGCTGTGGCAGGTGTGCTATGTTATTTCTGCTGCCTGTTGAAAGCGTCAACTTATAAGGACTGCACAACAGATATGTGATAAACCAGAATATTGAGCAGCTACATGCTTTTTAGAATAGGTTTGGAGTTCTGGATATTTAAGCCCTCCTCATCTACATTTGCTCTTCCCACATTCAATACAGTCTGATGGGAAATATATTTAATTTTTACTCCTGTGAGTGAATGGGGTTGAGAGTGCTCAAGCTGTGAGGGTTAAACAAGACTGTCAATAACTGTTTAAAATTTTGCAAATCCTGTGGAGTTGACTGCTGATTTCTGCAAAGACTTTGTGCATTTATTGACAAACTGTTAATCTACAGCTATACTGTATATCAGGCTTCCTCCAGATGTTGAACTACAACTCCCATGATTCTTTGAATGTAATAGGCTGATAATCATGGGTTGTAGTTCAGCAACATCTAGAGGGCCGGAGTTTGGGCAAGCCTGCTCTAAATAAATGCTTGTTGCACTAACTAGAGCTGTACAGAGAAGTTAGTACTTCCTAAAACCTAGGATGTTAGGGTTTTGAACTCTTGGCAGGAGTCCTTTTGAGTTGGACAATAATGTCAAAGTCCCTTTACAGCCTAATCTAAATATCCTACTTTTTTATTTTCTAAAGCTACAGTTTGATTCTGATGGGACATGAATTGCTTGGTAGTAAGCGTGTCGGGGGGAAAAAAAAAATAATCTGTCATTTCTTTGTGTTTAGGCTTGCTCTGTGAAACAAATGAAAATCTGAACTCTTTAGCAAATGGGATATTAAACCTTGACCATGAAGCATCTACAGACTCAGAAGAAACTGCTGAGCCCATTATCTGCAATTTTGCCCCATGTGAAGCAAAGCCTGCTAAGGCATTATTGGAAAGTCCTATCAGGAAACCGAACCGAAACAGAGTGAAACTGGCCGCAAACTTCTCGTTTGCGCCTGTAACAAAACTCTGAATTTTATGTATGCAGCTCTGAACAAAGAGGGTACACAAGTGGTTACATCAAAACTAAAAATAGCAGATGTTAAGCAGGCAATTCCCCATCAAGGATGTTGCTATTAATGGTCATAACTTTTTAAGAGGTTTCAAAATATTTTATTTTTGCATTAAGGTATGATTTATTCATTCCCCTCTTCCCCCTGCCCCACTTGTTTTGTGTTTAAACATGTTCAACAATGCACTATGTAAAGAAACTCACTGGCTAACATGCATTGCATTTTATTTCTTAGCCTCATCTGTGATGTTAATCCCAGCCTGTCGTGTTGGTGTAATGAAATCGTTTACAGACATAATTTCAGGCAGTATTACTCTTTATAGCATGATCTGTCTGCAAAAACATGTCCGTTTTAACCCCATAGCCCATAATGTGGCCCACATTTTTAGGTTTTGTGACGACAATCCTGTATATGAAAGTACCGCTTTTTGTTTAGTCTTTGGTACTGCGGGAAGTGTAAACTCTCATGCCGGAACTGTAATTTTTCTTTTATATATGTAACACAAAGGGTTAAATACAATCATGCAGTTGTGAATTACCCAGTTTTGCTTGTGCTGCTGTCTTGCTATTTCAGGTGACTTGTAAGAATGGCAAAAATATTTTCCGTATAGAAATGTTGTGTGTGGGTTTGGTTGCCCATTTAGTTTTAAATAAAATATTGAGTACACTTATTTTGCACTGAATAAAAGTCTGACGACCTGACAGTGCTGGGTTTGGCTGGTCAAAATAAAAATAGCAGTTGGCAGTGTCTTGTGAGGATAGAAAACCAGAACAGAAGTTTACTGACTATATATTAAATAATATGCATTGCAATGCATAAATGGATGACAGAGCCATAGTTATTGTAGATGTGGTACTCTTTGCTTCAGTAGATGTTCAGTTTCCACAGAAAAGGAAGGTCTATCTACAAGCAGAGTCACCAAGGTTTTTCTGCTTAACCTTGCTTTGGATTTTTTTTTTTTTTTTTTAATACTAGTTTGTAAACGAGGGGGAAGGTAATGGTGTGGTGAGATGGCATATTGTCTTTTTAACTTTCTGTAAATGTGTTTTTATTCAAATAGTGTTCCTTAGGGTTTTGCATGCCTTCTTGTCAAGTTTCAATATATTCAGGATAGCTTTTGATTAAGAGTAAGCCTGACTTGACTAGGTTAAACCAGTGGGACTGCCTTAATTTTGTCTGACTTGATATAGTGACAGAAGGCCACCTACTCCTTCTGGGATGACCTGGCTTTTTACAATGGGTTGTATTAGCCAGGTAAGTGGTTTCTTGTAGAACGTACCTAGAAAACAGGTTCTACATTTGTCTTTTTGTTGGGTTATTTGCAATATGCTGGAAAGTTACAAGATGGACTCTGGATCCATAGCCATTTAAATTAAACGATTTTACAGAATGGCTAAAGAAATTTTACTTCTTGGATTTTGCACAAGAATTTTCCTTTTTCTTCTCTTAAGTGACCATGTCTGGCTGAAAATGTTGTAGCTGCTGTGTAGACACGTTAAAATTACAAAAGGGGTTTTGTTTGTTAATTCTACACACCTAGGCTCTAGTCATCGGTCTAAAGCACTTCCTCAAACGTGGTCGTTCCCAAGTAAAAGTCCAGAATAATGTTTGTTTTTCTGTTTTAGAATGCTTTTAACAAAGATTAAGTAACCTTATGTATGGATAGTTTTCTGGCAGGTGGACACACTGATGTTATCATGTAAAAAGTGTGTAATATAGTAATGTTTGTTTTCTTTGCTATAGCCTGTAACTACAAGTCACCTGAAATATATTTTGTAGCGTGTATTTCAGCAAAGAAAGATTACACAAACTCCAGCATAGAGGTTATACTAGCAGTGGAAGTCAGTAAAGATTTTATTTTTGTCCTCTCACAATATCACTTCTAACCAGTTCATTGATGAGAAATGAAGTCTGCTTGTTTAGCAGTATGTGTGCAAACATTCATACCAAACTGATGAAATCATTGTTCTATTTTTAAAAAGGAAACCATGGATTGATGAAAGGAGGCTGATCAAATCTTTATTTTCAACAATAAAATGTTATTTATTTATGATTTCGGTAGATATAAACTAGTGTTAATATACATCACATTTCATGAAGGCGTTTGAAATTGTTGGGGCTAAAAATTCTGCACTTTCTTCCTTCCCCCTTTTCCTTCTCCCCATTTGTTCATTTAAGTCTCAAATGCGTCTGTTTTGGGACCAAATTACTGTATCAATAAACGTTAGTTGCAAGCATGCATGGTCTATGTAATTTGTTGAAAATTGCTTTGTATTGTGGAGGTTTTTTTTTTTCTTTTCTGAGTAAAAGTTCTGATCGTAACAATTTATATTAAAATTGGTCTAGCATACCAAGTACACTTAAAGCAACAAATGTTGCCGTCTTTAAAGGAACACTATAGGGTCACGAACACAAACCTAGATTCTTGACCCTATAGTGTTAAACACTATCTGGCCCACTTTGCCCTAAATATAGTAAAATCTTAACTTCATTCCAGTCTGATGCTGATTCTGCCCCTGATCTGCCTCATTTGGCTGATATCTCATCTGATGTCAGCAATCACAATGCTTTTTACATAGGAAAGTCTGATTATCTCTGCCAAGGAGGTGGGCTGGGGTTGTAGCCACATGCCATCCTGGCCAATGCATAGAGATGCATTACGTCAACGTGTCTCTGTGGAATGTTCAGTGTCTTCATGCCGAGGGTGGAGACACTGCATGTCAGTGCTGCACACTGCAGCACTGCCACAGGAAGCACCTCCTTTGGCCATCTGAGAAATGGCCACTGGAGGTGTCCCTAGACTCTATAAAATATTAGAAATATCTATAGGAGCAGTCGACTGGACTGGAATAACTACGAACTTGCAGAGATTGGGAATGAGATCAGCCATATCAACTGAACAGATAATAAAGTTGGTAATAAAGGAGAAAGTGGACAACTTCGGACATTAAAACATGAATGACTTTAAATTTGAGGCTGAAACCTTAAACTGCAAATTAAGAAAATTCAAGCGCAATATTTTGTATTCCTTGCTTAATCTGGCTTATACCTGGAGTGAAAACCATAGACTCCACAACAAAACCCCTATACGCGTCCCACAGGCCGCAGCAGTTAACAACTACACCACCATGTATTCAAACCATATTAAAAATAGGGGCGGTGAGAACAATAGGCCTCTCTTTTTAGGCAGAGAGTGCCCTCGCAAGACTCCCATCCCCACCGGCAGCAGGACATTGATGCAGAGCAGATGGAAGTTAATATCAAGGCCACTAACCTGGTGTGAGGAGTGCATCATTAGGTCTACGCCACACAGTATGGCAATTGTCTTAGAACTGATGTCAAATGAAATAAATTATTTTTATAATATCTGGAATGAATATATAGATTTTTTTTTTTTTTTTTTCTCCCATACCAACCCAGTAAGAGTTAACCCCCTTAAGGACACAACTTCTGAAATAAAAGGAATCCTATTTCCGTCATGTGTCCTTAAGGGGTTAATCACCCTACTGGTGATTTAAATTCTCAAATATGTAAACCCATGAGTAATTTTGTTCATCACCAGAATATTACAGTGGAAACATTTTATTAAGCTTGTTGAACATAATGTACTCAAAACAAACTGGGAAAAACAGTTTTGACACACATAATGTTCATTGTCTAAATGTGAGTTTGTACAACTGTAAAAAAATTTTTTTTTTTTTTTGTATTCAAAACCTACAGATCATCAATTCTTGCACTTTCCAGCCACCTAAGCTTAAAATAGATCTTCCATACCTCACAATTAGTGAGGATGATGTGTATTCTCACTGTGAGTGACACAATTGATCATAGGGCCCATTGTACAGCGCTACGGAATTTGTTGGCGCTATATAAATAATAAAATAATAATAGGGCCAGCAAATTAGTGGAGTATTTCTGTAGGAGAGACCTTTTCCAAAGTCTTAATGGAATGTAAACAGAAAATTTCTAACCTTGATTGTACCACACTGATGCTCCATAGGATAGTTGGATCTTGGAATATCAATGACCACTTAATCGATGCAATCAAAACACATCCGACACTTTCATAAACCTTGGCAACAGACCTTAATTTTGGCTAACTCTCCCAGAATTTTTCCCCACCCCCTCAAGACCAAGGAACCTTAGGGACTCCTTGGTGTATGCAGATATACCACGAACACAATCACCTATGACCAACTGGCTCTCCAATATTATAGGTATGTGGACATTGTATCAACTGCAATGGGATCATATGCATGGACCCCTTTCCATGTCACAGAACAGGGATGAAATATACCCTTAGGGACCTAGTGAATTGTTCGATATTCTGTGTTGTATATTTATAGAAGTGACCGTGCGGATTGGCCTATGTGGGTTAGACTAGCTGTCCATTAACTGTTAGAATAGGAGAGCACAAGGGTAATATCCATAATCACAATAAGCTATCTTATGTTGCTAGAAACTTTGATAGCTATAGACGCCCTGTGGCACAACTAGGGTAGCTGGCAATAGATCATGTCAAGGCACCCACGCAGGAGGGAGTTAAGAAGCTTAAACAGTGAGAACTTTAATAAAGTTATTAGACACCCTACACCCCCATGGTATCAATACTGCCAAGGACTTCTTGTGCTTTTGATAAACATGCCCTCTTATCAGTGTTTTTGGTTCTTTACAAACATAGGTCCTCTCACATACTGTTGTGTTTCCATTCTTGTGACTAGATTGCAAACTTTAAATCCTACAGGTAGCCCTGGCGTTATTGCCTACCACTTTTTTCCCCTTGATAAATTCCAGGATCTTAATTCCACTTCATGCCTTGAATCAATTATATAGTACAGGGGTGCTCAAAAGGTAGGCTGCCAGATGTCATAAAACTACAACTGCTATCCTGTTTGGCATCCCTTTAGAATGACATTTATCATGGAAACTGTAATTTTAAAACCTCTGGGATCTACCTTTTGGGCAACCCTGAGATAGTACTATGTATACTGGTCTACTGTGACATATCAGACTTTTTTTTTTTTTTTTGTTCCCACATTTTTCTACCAGCTGGTGGTGTGATGGATAGAAATGAATGTGTGTAAAATGTCTATTTACTATGTATACCTGTGTTCATTTATTACTCAAAATGGCTGCTGGAGTGTCCCTTTAACTGAACTTTTCTGTGTCAGTGTGAGTTCTTCGGTGTGCACGCTTTATTACATTTAAACCATTTGGACTGGGGCAGATATTCAAGCAAACACTTGGTTTGGTCTAGAGCAATTGTAGGCCTTGTCTATTGTCTTTTTCATTTGACCCTTGGTTTTTTTTTTTAGTTTTTTTTTTTTTCACTTTTCTGTTTTGTTTTCTATTTCTTTTTCCTTTCTCCCACTTTCAAGTTGAGGGCTATTCTCTGGTTATTTTTCCTTCCTTCATTTATTAGTTTGTCGTATATGGTTTTATTTTTCTTCTATTTATTTTTTTTTTTTTTATTTCATTTTATCTATTCATTAATCTTTCCTTTTCGATTTTTGGGATTTCTTTACTTTATTTCTATTTCCTTTTTGTATTATTCATATTTTTTTTTTCTCTCTCCACAGTATCTCTTCCTTTGGTTGTACTCCAGCTGTAATACTTGTTATTCATTTTTGACTAGTTAGGCATGGGAGATACAACCTGTAATACCTCTAATAGTACACATTATTTATCATGCCAATTATGTGTGTCCCATTTGGTCCAATAAAATCTTCACTGGCCCATATGCTTTGTCAAATTGAGAAACATTTTTTACTTGCACTAATATTAGTATTTAGATCTGGTTCGTTTTGGTGGGAGTTTTTTTTTTTGTAAAGCATGCATGTCAGCTGGGCGCCTGCTCATCATGGCGAAGGCGAACCTGGTTTTGTATATGGTTACTTGATGGTTTTGGCAACCATCAAAAACCCCTGCAGACACTTTATGGTGGAACTACTGCCTTTATACACTTGTACACCCGTATATCAATGGAAAGCAAGGAAAGTGAACCAGAAAAGGGACTGGGGTTGATAGGATTCTAGAAGTGAGTACCGGATAACCGCAAGATGGCTGCCAGACTAGGAGCTTGATGTTGGTAAAAAGCAAAAAAAATTTATCGTCGAGCGAAATGCGTGCATCTTCGTAGTACCAATAGGTACATTTCTAGTTAGTGTTACTGACTAAACACCTTCCACTTCTCCTTTTTGTACAAGAGCATCTATTTTCATATTTTTGTATTGTAGAATTAATAAAATGTGTTAGTTTTTTTGTTTTTTGTGTTTTTTTTTTGTTGCTTTTAATAACATCAAGTTCCTGGTACACTTTCCTTGCTTTTCAGTTTCTATTTGGGGTTATCCCCCATCCTTAGTGTACCTGGAATTGGCTCATATAAAGTACCATTCACCCTTGACAAAGGCCCATAAGGCTGAAACACTGTGTGGCGTGGTAACTTAGCTCCAGTCCCACACCACTAGTTCTTGAGGTATCACTATTGGTACACATGATCTATGTGAGCTTTTTTCACTTGTAGTAATTTATTTTTGTCTGCTGTTAATTATGTATAAACTCATGATTTTCTTTCTCCTGGACCACATGAATTTTGCATAAGAATGTTTGTGACTATTCTTGTAATTTTGTGTATATGGGTCAAGTAATAAAGTGTTATTTTATTTATACTACTTGGTGTGCAGTGGATATTATTTATGGTAACTATAAAACAGTTATTTTACGAGAAATGGCAATATCAGCAAGCAATTAAGGGATTTTCCTATTTCATAACATTGGATTGGCTGATTGCCATGAGTTGTAGGTTCACAATGCATTTGGACCAGCAATCATAATACTTGGATTTGCAACCGGTAAACTTGTCTGTGATCCAGAACAACCTCCCCACCTTCCTGCAAAGGGGGCAAAAGTGAAAGTTTAAAGAATGGCAAGGAAGAAACCATATTGTTAATCAGTCCTCTGCATAAAGATCTATGTTGATTTTTTGGTTTGAGGTGTTAGTGACCAAGGCCAATTTTTTTTATTTTCTCTACCACATATTACTCTTTCGTTTATATGTTAAGAAAATAATATACGTGTGTGTATATATTTTATATGTATGTGTGCACACTTAAAGGTGAAATATGGCTTTAAAGGTATATACATATCACAACATTAAATATGAATAATATATTTTTAAAATATTCTCGGTTTGCATTTAGCAACTTCAGCACAAGTACAGCCTAACTTTAAGCCAGAGAGCCTGTTCTGCACCAGACCAGTGGAGCCAGACTGCAGCTAGAGCCCATCATCATCCTCATCTGGTTGTAAGTAGGCAATCTAGTATATTATCCGTGGCACTAAGCTCTAATTTACCTCACATTAAAGAAACACTATAGTCCCCAGAACCACTTCAGCTTAATGTAGTGGTTCTGGTGTCTATAGCCTGTCCCTGCAGACCTTTTAATGTAAAAACGGTGGCACTGCAGCACTGGCGTTAGTTAAGATGGCAAATCATATGGGTGGTGCATTGTGATGTTACATGGGGGGGCGGCAAACTTTACTTTTGCCTAGGGCGGCAAAAATCCTTGCACCGGTCCTGGCTAGAGGGGGCTGTGTGAGCTGTGGCCGCACAGTGCCCCATGGTAGTTAGGGTGCCGTGCGGCCAGTACAGCTCACACAAGCAAACAGCTGATAAACAGGGCGCACGGAGGAAATGTGTATGTGTGACTGTCTGCTTGTAAATGTGTGCGTGGGGCTGCAGGGATTTTGTATTGGGACAGGAGTCTTTATAAGGGGGAATAAGCAGGGGAGTTGTGGAAGGGGGTTGCGGGGGTTTTGTAGACGGGGCAGGACAGAGGTTTTGTAGGAGGGGCGGGGCAGGACAAGGGTTTTGTAGGAGGGGCTGACAGCGGCTTTGCAAAGTTTATAAATTGTAAAAAGAGAGAGAGAACCTTTAACATTTTTTATTTTTTTTTTTTTTTGGGTGGGTGGGTGGCCAAGCACAGGATCCGCCCCGGGTGCCAAATGCTCTAGGTACGCCTCTGCTCCTTAGTCCACTGTCACTGCTCGGGGACTTTGCAGAATTTGAAAAGCCCCCCCCTTTGGTCACACAACCCATGGGGCCCCGGTGCGAAAACTGATCATATTTTGGCCCCCGGTCTCATTGAGTGGCGCGCTGGGGAGGGGGAGCAAAGACAGAACAGCCAGCTGCCTGCCCAGCCCCAGGTGCCAACGGCCCACCGGGAAATTTCCCGGTGGGCCAGTCCGGCCCTGCCCCCCAGCCTCCTTACCTTTGGGAGAGCTGAGGGTATTCCCATGGGTCCAGTGGTGCTCCTGGGCAGCCGGTCCTGCGGGATGGTAGGCGTGCGAGGGAGCACTCTCCCTGTCTGAGTGCTTCCTGTTCCGCTCCCTCGCGCGCCGCGTACTGATGCCTGAGCCGGACGATGTCATCTTCCGGCATCAGTGTGGTGCGCGAGGGAGCTGAACAGGAAGCACTCAGACAGGGAGAGTGCTCCCTCGTGCGCCAGCCAGTCAGCCCGTCTGGTGACACCAGGGCCAGCCTCGGGGGCCCTGAGGTGGCCGGCTCCTGGGCCCCCCACGAGCTGCGACCCCGGTATGTACGCCACTGCCGATGGTGATATCACTGCTGGGGGTCCGGTGGCCGGGGAAGGCAGGTAAAGGTGAGTTTTACTTACCTGAACTTGTCTCTCGCTGGTATGGATATCTTCACTTGGTTGGGTCGTCTTCAGCTTCTGGTGCTTGCTGACATCACTGCTGTACTCTTGCACGTGAGCGAACGCTTAGTGTTGCGGTCTAAGGAGAATCTCTCAAGACATAGACAATTCTCTGCAGATATCACTGGGGGGATTGACACTTCTAGATGCTGTAGCTCTGTTCAGTATCTAGAAGTGTCAGGAGTAGGAAATATATAGACACAAAGTAGTCCCTACTCAGTATATCTCTTGACTGGGTTGGTATTTCAGTAAGATTCCACCAGAGTCAATACGAGTATTTCATAACTATTCCATCTTTATAAAATACCCCTTCCCCCCAAAAAAATTGTAACAGTGCTGCTTTAACATCAAAAGTGGTAGATCAAAGGAGTAGTGATTTTCTAAAAAGCAAAACAGTCACTTGGGTACCACGCACTAGAAATAAAATAGAATTAGATGCACAAAGAATTAGATGGTCAGCCTGGTGTTAATGGATGTCCGACTGCCTGCCAATTATGCAGGATGACCAACCAAGGGCAGACTGTGCAGACAGCACTCTGAGCTTGGCATAAATGCGTCTAATGATGCTCTAACTCTACGCTTTCTAAGGACTGTCCCCCAACACTCGCTGGTCCACTCCTTTTCTTAATAGCCAGCAGAAGCTCCTGGTATACAGTCTGTGACAGAGAAAATGTGTGTGTGTGTAGTGAGTGGCGAACTAAGGGGGGGTGGGCGGTCCGCCCCAGGTGCCACCAGGTAGGGGGCTGCCATGACCCTCACCATGGTCCAGGGCCGGCCTTAGGGTTGTGCGAGCTCTGCGGCTGACACAGCTCACACATGACTGGGTGACAGGGGTGGGGGGGGAGGGGGAGCTAGAGCAGGTACCCAGGTGGAGAATTTCATTATTATCCACCGGCTCTATTAAAAAACAAAACAAAAAAAAATAATAGTGAGGTGGGCGGGGCTAATACCTACCAGAAGCCCCTGGTAACTGCTGCACAGAAAGTGGGAAGCAGGAAGGAGTCCCTGCTTCCCCACCAACTTGTCTACAGGAGCTGCACTGCCTCTACTCCCCCCTTTCAGCCATAATGGAAATAGGTAATTGATGAAATATAAGATTTCTGGAGCGCTCTAAAGAATTTTAAAAAAAATCGTTTTTAGTTGATATGATTTACAATTTCCAGCTAGACACACTCTATGCATGATACCCTTAAACATACATAAAATACATGAAGAAAAAGATGATTGAGAGTGGAGCAGTATGTCAAGAAATAATGACTAAATATGTGATAAAACGTAGGAGAAAATAAGAACACTGCCAGTGTTTTTCATTAGCCATTTTTAGGGTATACTGTGTGGGAACACTGTCTATATTTGAGCTTTTTGTACAATCTACACTATTATGTGTCTTTTTTGTATGTACTGAGGAATACTACATGGAGGACATCCCTTAAATCCTAAGTATTATATTAATTATAATTTTTTAACCTCTTCACACTGCATATATATTTAGGGTTTTATCACATAGTCATTATTTCTTGACACACTGCTCCACTCTCAATCATCTTTTTCTTCATGGAAATAGGTAATTGTCTGTGTGCCTGCCCGTCTGCCTGTGTGTGACTGTCTGCCTGTTACTAAGTGTGTGTGAAAATGTCTGTCTGTAACTGTGCATGTGTGACTGTCTGCCTGTAACTGTGTGCGTGTGTGTGAGGGGGGCAGAGGTTTTGTATAAGGGGGGCTGAGCAGGTGATTTGTGGAATGGGAATGCAGAGGTTTGTAGAAGGGGGCTAACAGGGGTTTTACACATTTTTTAAAATTTTGTAGGTTTTTTTTTTTTTTTGTTAAGGGGGGGGGAGGTGCCAAACACAGGATCCATGGGTGCCAAATGCTCTAGGTATGCCCCTGAGTGAGTGAGTGAGACTGAAGCAGCAAGAGTATTTACAAATGTGCAAACTCAGCTTTGCCTTAACTAATTTCATTGTCAGCCAGTCCACACCAGTTTTGTTCCCCTACATCCCTACTAAGTTTCCAGACTTAAGCAAGAGCATGTGAAGTGTAGTGTGTAAAATCATATTTAAATCAATAAGCCTATTCAATGGGCGTGAGCTTGGAGCTGCAGCTCCATCAGCTCCTATGTTAATCCGGCCCTGCATTCTGTCATTAACCACCAAAGCCAGGATGCATTTCATAGATAATACTGCTTCATCAGATGATCTGTGCAGGTGTAATGTATTTTATCTGTTTATTTTTTTTTAAATTTATTCTAATTAATGGATAAGTAATTTCAGTCATTGAGCCAGGGCACTCTGCTATAACTCACCTCACGTGTACTACATTATAAATTCTTGGGCTGTAGTAGGCTGATTACGATTAAATATGTAATATTTATATCTACCAACCTTATCTGCCTACTTACTGTGACGAGGTGGGCAGGAAATAGAGCAGGCTGCACAGTTTGCTGTGCAGGGGACAGACCTGTTCCTAAAGAGGGTGGTGAGGCTGGCTATCAATCTGCCCCCTCAAGCATGAAATGCTGCTGAAGTGCTCTGTGGATGGTCCCAGTCCCCCTCTAGCATTTTGAAATCTGACAGCTGATCTCAATATGTGGGACAGGCCCCTGTGACCAGAGGAGGCTCTCTAATTAGGCGGTTTAGGCGGCTGCCTAAGGCCTCGCGCTGGCTGGGGCCTCGCGGCCGCCTAAACCACCTTATGGAAGACTGTGTCAGGTCCTCGGTCACTGACCGAGGACCTGACACCAGGAGGGGGCCCGGCGGCTTGCCCCGTATGCCGCCGGGTGCGAGGCCCCTCCTGGCTGCCTGGCCAGCCACCGCAGACACCGGTCTGCAGCTCCGCAGTGAGCAGAGCTGCAGACCATGTGTCTCGCGAAAACCGGCCAATCAGAGCATTACCGCGGGTTACCACGGCAACGCTCTGATGGTCTCGCGAGATTACATGGTCTGCAGCCACCGGACCACCAGGGATGAAGGTAGGTTCTGCTCACCAGCCTCAGCCTCCCCACCCCCCCACCAGCCTCCCCACCCCCCTCAGCCTCTCCACCAGCCTCCACACTACCCTCAGCCTCACCACCCCCCACCACCCTCAGCATCCCCACCCCCCTCAGCCTCCCCACCACACTCAGCCTCACCCCACCACACTCAGCCTCAGCCTCCCCACCAGACTCCCCACCCCCCCACCACCCTCAGCACCCCTACACACTTATGAACTCTTAATATGGAACATATGGCGTGAACAAAATATGTAGTTTGTGCATTCCTTACCCCAAAATGCATTTATCTGCATCATATTTCATATGCCAATTGACTGCCAGTCCCCTAATTTAATCAAATTCCTTTGTCGCAAAATAATACCCTACTCATACTGTATTCTGTTAACTAGTTTTTGTTATTTGCAAACACTGACACATGACTTTTAATGCCTATTGCAACATATGATACTGATTGAGGCTATAAGCGCGCAGCCTATTTGTTAATGAATGGGGGCAATCTACTGTTGCAATTCTGGTATTACATCACCTACAAACTTGACCTTTTTTTAATTTATTTTTTGTTTTGTTTTTTAAATGTACCTGCATATGAAATTCATATTAATCTTAGAGGCTTAGTGTTTTTCTTTTTAATAGAAAGCCCAGAACTTGCATTAATCTTTCTGTATTAATGAAACACAGTATGTGAATAAAGTAATTTTTACTTAATACCAAAACACAAAAGCATCTGCTTTTTCAATTTGTTCATCTCCATCTATGATCTGCGATAAAACTGCAACAACGGATAGACATTACAACTGTATAATTACATTTAGAAATCCACAAAGGTACAAATTATCATTTATTTATTAGCTGTACTTCACAGTATAGTATGTCCTAAGACTGATATATATATATATATATATATATCAATTTCTTTTTTTCTATCTGCCAAACATACACTGAGATTTCTAATGTGCAAGGAAAATGCATACAAAGTTCTGGATTTGTTCCATATTTGGATCCATATTTTACATGGTACTTGGTAAAATACGTCTTGTATTTTAAAGAGATTTGCAATTTATGGAGAGGCAAAAATGTCCCTTGAACGTTCTGACATCACATACGTTTGTTTGTGTACCCCCACGTATCAATATACATATATATTACATGTAAGCAATAAATTAAAAAAAAATCTGAATATTTAAAATATTTTCTTATATTTTTTTTTCTGGATTTTATTCAGAATTGGTGAATATTCACCTCTTTTCTGCTTGTTATGGCACAGAAAAAGTTAAATAACGAAGTACTGTACGCAATAGAAGTATAGGTTTTGGTTCAAGAACTACTAAACCATTCTTCGGAGTGTTAATTTAATCACTGGGAGCAAGTCTGACAGCTGCTAAGTCTACACGTTAATCACTCAGGATGTTACAAATGGTTGCTGGCAGACATAAGAATATATGTAATAAAATATATTCTCGCTATATACACTCTCCTTCTAAACATGCTCGTTTAGTGATCCATGCGACAGTGAGATATTCACTATTCATACACTATTGGAAAATGTGGTACTGTATCTATAGCACATACAGTTCTGGTTATCAGGATTTTGGGTGCGTTATATCCCTTTTGGTGAACCCCATCATTGCAACAGAGCATTCTGATGACTGATCGCAAGCCCTGTGTTACATTATGCTACACTGGGTTGTGCCACAGCAGTCTTTGAGAATCGCCATCCCTGTTTTCGTTATGGAAGGTTTGGTCGGCGGGAGTTCTGTTTTCTTCTCGGGGACAGTACCTGTGGAAAGAGCAAACATATTTCAATATAGCATTTGTTTACAACAGCGGTTGTAAAGTAACAAGAAAAATAACAACATGGCATGGCCTAGCATGAGTTTTTGAAAAGGAGAATATAGAAAAAGGTTAAAGATGAAAGAGAATTATAATGATTTTGTCTCCCAACCATGTGCAATCAAATGCATCAAATAAAATCTAGATTGAAAACCCCACTTACTTTCCTCCATACTCCAGTGCTAGTTTTCATCCCGTAGAAAAACACATTCCTAAAGGGATATTCTGAGCACCAAAACAAATTTAGGTAAATTAAGCAGTTTCAAGAGTTAAATCACCTTTTTTGTTATTTATGTAGCCCTAGCCTCCCCTCCCCTGGCTGTGACTTACTCAACCAACATACATTTTTTTTTTCAATCAGATCTTAGAGCACAGTGTGTTTACTTTAGTATTTTTTTTATAACCTGCTCTGTTAATTGAACTTTCATCATACTTATGAGACTCATTTAACAGGAAATTAACAGAACTTGAAATAAGAAATTCTCAATTAAACAGACTGTGCAATAAAGGAAGTTTAAAATGTACATCTCTTTCAGGACATGTGAAAGGAGACTGTGTAGGTCACAGAGGGGAGGTGTGGCTAGGGCTGCATAAATGAAGGGATTTAACTACAATATAAGAATAAGTATAAGAAATCCACCCAGCTATCGCAAACGTAGGGAGGCTGGGTGGATTTAAATAAAAAAAATAATAATAATATTAATAATAATTATGTGAGTGTCAGCGAATGTGAGTGAGTGTGTGTGCCAGTGAATGTGTGTGTGTGTGTGTGTGTCGGTCAGTGAGTGCGTGCGTCTGTCAGTGAGTGTGTGTCTGAGTAAGTGTATGTCTGTCTATCAGTGTGTGAAATCAGTGAGTGTGTGTCATTGTTTGTCAGTGTATATGAGAGTGTGTGTCTGTCAATGAGTGAGCGTCGTCCAGTCAAAGTGAGGCCTTGACAGGAAGGGGTGGGGAAAATTTAAATTGGGGGGTGCCCGAGCACCGTCCTGCCTAGGGCAACACAAATCCTGAATACACCACTGACTCTGGTGTCACTTGTGAGAGCAGATGAAATGTACAGTTTCTAATCATTTTGTTTGCTACAGTTCACATATATTTCAAACTTGTTATTTTTCCTTAACATTTTTATATTTCTGAACAAGTTCATCATAATAGATCATTTCCAAGAAAAATTCAAATGGTTTACTTTTACAACATTTAAATTTTACATGCAACTGAACAGCAATCTTTTCGCATAATTGTTGTTTTGTTCCAAGTTTATTTGCTAATTGCCATGTTTTAAATAGACTTGTGCACAAATGCATTTCAGGTGATACAAACTAATCAAATGCCTTTTAATCTGCACAAATTGATCTGTCTGGGATTTACTTTGTGAGTCTTAATCATTGAATAAACCTCCTCATGTTATCTCGAATGTATCAATTTTTTCGGGGCGTAGATTAAAAGACACATTTGTGTGCCAGTATAGTTTTAAATGACTACATTATTTTATTCATCCAGACACATTTCCCTTATTTAACTATTTATTTTATTATGGACCAGATAAATAACCGTCTGTTCCATGTCGGAGCATTTAGAGAGTTAAAAGTTCCCTCTTATTTATATCCAACACCTGTAGCATACATGCAGCCAAGTCCTTATAGACCTAGAATACACTAACACAACAATTAATAAATGTGAAATGCTCCTCAGACACTTACTATCAATCGGCCTTGTTTCTTTGTCAAGGGGCTTTAATTTGATGCGCAAGAAATCAGAAATTTCCTTGTCTTCCTCCTTTTCCCTGGAAAACAGTAGGAAATTGCACAAAAGAGAATTGCTTATGTACAATTATTTTTTATAAAACTAGAACAGGCTCTGGAGGTGTCATCTATAGCCTAGACATATATAAATTTTCAATGTATGGAGGGAGGGAGGGTGCAACAGAAAGGGAAGGGATTTACATTCATAAATATACACATTTTAAATATCCTATTACAGTTGCAAGAAAAAGTATGTGAACCCGTTGGAATGATATGGATTTCTGCACAAATTGGTCATAAAATGTGATCTGATCATCAGCTAAGTCACAACAATAGACAATCACAGTCTGCTTAAACTAATAACACACAAATAATGAAATGTTGCCATGTTTTTATTGAACACACCATGTAAACATTCACAGTGCAGCTGAAAAAAGTATGTGAACCCTTGGATTTAATAACTGGTTGAACCTCCTTTGGCAGCAATAACTTTAACCAAACGTTTCCTGTAGTTGCAGATCAGACGTGCACAACGGTCAGGAGAAATTCTTGACCATTCCTCTTTACAGAACTGTTTCAGTTCAGCAATATTCTTGGGATGTCTGGTGTGATTAGCTTTCTTGAGGTCATGCCACAGCATCTCAATCGGGTTGAGGTCAGGACTCTGACTGGGCCACTTCAGAAGGTGTATTTTCTTCTGTTTATGCCATTCTGTTGTTGATTTACTTCTATGCTTTGGGTCATTGTCCTGTTGCAACACCCATCTTCTATTGAGCTTCAGCTGGTAGACAGATGGCCTTAAGTTCTCCTGCAAAATGTCTTGATAAACTTGGGAATTGATTTTTCCTTCGATGATAGCAATCCGTCTAGGCCCTGAAGCAGCAAAGCAGCCCCAAACCATGATGCCCCCACCACCATACTTCACAGTTGGGATGAGGTTTTGATGTTGGTGTGCTTTGCCTTTTTTTCGCCACACATAGTGTTGTGTGTTTCTTCCAAACAACTCAACTTTGGTTTCATCTGTCCAAAGAATATTTTGCC